ACATCGACTGCCCTTCTGAACAGCACTCAGGCGAAGTCGCTCAGCCTTGGATGTCAGCCTCTTCGGCACAGACACACAGTGAATCGTCAAGAAGTGAAAAATGCGATTTAATGCCAGAATGTTTTGTGTGTCCCTCCAGAGAGGTGAAATATGTGTAAGCTGAATATTTGAAATGATTCCGATGAGAGATGAATGGATTTATACCTCTTTTATTGTGTTTAGATTTTTGTGAAACGACCACAAACAGGGTCAGAACAAACAAATATTGTTTCTCTCCGTCCAAAGGAGACTGGAAATATTGTTGAGCAGAAAAAGAGCATAACTTTAATAATAATCTCTCTCTCTCACTCAGTTACAAGTGAGGAAAAAGAGTGAGTTCTTTTTTTTCCATGAATAAATAAGCCTAAGATCTCTTCACTTTGCCGTGCAAGGAAACACGCAATAAAAAGTCCATGGAATGCGCTTTTGTTGCCCACAACAAATATTCAATTGAACACTGTATGAATATTCAAAATTCCTACTTTTTCAGCCCATCTCTCAACACTGGACCGATGCTGTATAGAAAATAATGATTTATGTGACCATTTCAAAAGGCAAAGGGAGATAAACGCTTTTTATCATCATTATTATTGGGCACATGGCGAAGGAAATACACTCCAGAGTGTCTCTCGATATATTATTGGAATTCTGAGAGCGCGCATCTCGACTGGTGAGTGAAAGAAAATCTCCAACCCCATCCGATAACAATTCCGGCTGAACTTCTATCATGTCATTTTGCTGGGATTCCTTCCATTGAAATAACTCTGGGCATTTGGACAATGTTCACTGATTCGACTCCCTTTTCATCACTTCACACCCCCCAACAAGACGACCCCACACACACACTGGCGGTGTGCACAAAATATAAACGAGAGTAATTGAAATAACAACAGTAATTTGCACCAATAAAATTACAGAGAATCATCGTTCTGTTGTCCCTCAGACGCATCGACAGTTTGTCTTGGTCGTCCTGGCTGTTGAGGGGATTGAGGGTGTTGCAATCGGGGTGGATATATAACTCAATTCACTCGTCGACCTTTTCAAAGCTCTCTTTCTCTGCGTTCGTGAATTGGGCGAGAAAATACACGAGATAATTCAATAAGATTGAAATATACACATTCGACAGTTCTTTCGACATGTTGAGCATGTTTTGAACAATTGAGAGGGAAGAAATCAATAAATTGCCCCTCAATTCTCACACTGAACACACACAGTAATTGCTGCAAATGTTACGAGCATGACATTTCATAGTCCTTGGCTCTTAACACTCAATTTCAGACCATAGAAATCCACTGAGAATCTGTAAATATTGATTAGCTTCTGGGCACAAGGATTGAACTGAGCATATTGATCTGAGCACAGATTTTCAGAGTCGTATTTCCACTTAATTGTGGGGTTGAAAAGGTTCAAATAGAAAGGGAATGACTTAATTAGAAACGAAGAGCACGAATTAGCTCAAAAGAACACCAAAATTCCCTTAGTTGCTCAGAAATTGACAGTTCTTCTTACAACAGCTGTCAAAATCTACATTTTTCGCTGTCTTTGCCTTCTTCTCAAGCTTCTTCTTCTCTTCCTGTGATAGTGACCAATAGAAGGATATCTTCTTTCTCTCTTAAACCATCTCATTTTCACTGGTTTTCCCGGGAGCTTGCAAAAAGCTGTTTACAACTGTCGTTCATGTAAAATTTGCCTTAGCAATGTAAATTTGACACATTTTGCTCAGAGAAATTAAAGATTCTTGTATTGAAAAGCATTTAAAGGTAATAATTAAATATTTTCAGGCTTTTTTGTGCTCTATGAGACTGAAAATCATGAAAAACTGGACGAAATTCTCAAAAAAATATCGATAGCATCATCAAATCGATTGATATATCGGGAAATCGATTTTGGTCAACTGAGCAAATTGAGCTAGAACATTAATTTTCCTTCCGTTCTGGTTGCAATTCTCTTGTCAGGCACTGTTTCTTTCTCTTTACAGTTTATTAATAAGACCAAACAAAGGAATATAAAATACAAATTAATAAGACAGGAGAAAATATTGACGAAAAGCCAAAACTCTGAAATGCTCGCATTTTTGTTCTATCGACCAAAGGAAGATCATAAATTATGAGTTAATATTTTTCTCTCCCTCTCAATTTAACTCCGGGTTGAGCCTTATGATCGCGCAAACAAATAAGACATAAATTATCCGGCGGAATATTTATATTTATTAGTGTCTGGCGATGCCTTTTTCACTCTTTAAGGAGCCCCGCTAGAGTCAGTCATTAAGAGAGCCCATCAAACCCGATGCTCTCCGCGAGTCCTTTTTCTCAGGTAATATCTCAATCAGAAATTAATAAACGCCACCCTCCGCCCTTCCCCATTCCCTGCATGTGTGTGTGTGTGTGATTCATTTGCATTCCAGCCGGACGCTTTTCCCGCACTTCCCATTCGCCTCTTCTGCCTCAATTAATGCAATTTATTCTGCATCGGCCAGGATTGCGTATTTGTTCTGGGACGAATCTCATCAAACGCCTCCGTTGGCATTTCGTCTGTGTGCGCGGCAAAAAAGCGTCTCGCTCGTTTGCATTTCGCAGTCCTTTTTTTTTAATCCATCATTCATGAAATGCAACTCAGGCCGGACTTTTCGCGGGAAACGCATTGAAATGTGCGCGCACGAGTAGGAATTTTCACACCATGGAAAAAGTGCTAATAAATCGCCAACGTGTATTTTTTATTTGCACTCTTCCCACTCTCTTTCTCTCTCCCTGAGCTTCACACTCGGGATCGGGATTTGGGAGAATGATGACAAAATTGTTGACAAGAGGGAAGAAATATATTCATGGAAAAGTTGTAAAATTAAGCGCAGAAAACGTGTGAATTCTCCACAATATGAATTGCTCAAGCATTCAATTAATAAATCATAGTGTAATTATGTATTAATTAAATACAAACTGCCTGTAATTTATAAAATAGCGACAGTGATTTATCGCTTCAGGTGAATTTTCACTGGAAAAGTTGGCAATATTTTTCAACTCTCCGTGTCTAATTTTGCGCCACACAAACACAAATATTTATTTGGCATCTCTCGCGCTAATTAAAAAGCCCTGCGTTGGCAAATTAAGGCATCTCCTGCTGACCTTTTGTCCTCTCGCACATCAAATATCACTCCGACCAAGGGGGAGATAATATGCAATAAAAACTTCTAGAACATGAAATTTTTAGTCTGTTTCCACATTAATTCCCAAATTAGAATGAATTTCTTGAGGTTTCATTCGATATTTCTATAAAAATCGACTTGAAACCGCTGTTTTTGGACATCTTTTCTGATCATAACCTCAAAAATTTAATTAGGAGGTATTCAAAAACTCCCTTTGAGAGCTTTTTGGATCACAAATCATCTCAAAATTGCTTATTCACAGTCAAAATTGTCCAGAAAGTTATCTAAATGGACATTTTCCCAGTCCAAATGACTATATTTGAGGTTATGTTCAATCTTAACACAATTCGCACTGTTTCTTGACATCAAAGGAGCCAAAAAGCACAGTTAATTGCTTGCAAATGCTTAATTATGCCAAGGAAAAAGCGAATTCTTCACATAAATCTGTCTTTAATTCGTTACATAACCTAGAAAAAGATTTTTACGTTTGTTTCTGCGTGAAAATCGAAGGAAATTCAGAGAATATGAATGATTAGGTAGTAAAAGAAGCGCGTAGGAATGGAATATTGTAGGTTTTTCAACACTTCCACTCCTTAAGTACTTCTGCTGAGCTGTACACCACTTCCGACTGTACTATCTCCCCCTTGATTTCGACCAACAAGAGGCCGAAATTCGACGCTTGTTCCGCGCAATATGAATTATTGATCAGCTAAGTGGCAACATTTTCATCGGCTTGTTGTGTGTAATTTCCAAAGCCCAAAGAGGCGTCACACTTTCATGTGAAATTGCAATGCAATTGCCGGAATCGCAACTATTGCTGGAATTTAATAAATATTTGTCGCACAAACAAATATTTCAGCGGCACGTTTTCCGCCCAAAAACTCACGACTTTTGCCACCCCGTTTTTGTGCGTGATAAATGCAGAAATCGCACGAAATCAATCAAAAGGAAATTATGTGAAAGGATTGCAGGGAAAAAATCACATACAAAACTCTGATTCATCATCCAGAGTGTCAACTGAGAAATCCTCAAGTCTCGAATGGATGTTTCTGTTCAAAAGGCCAACAATCAAAGTGTGATCGATTGACGATTAATGATGCTTGAAAATTATTGATTTGAACCCGCAAAATTTATCACACCGCATAAATCTCTCTCTCTCCTCTCGGATTTTTATTGCACGACTTGGGAAAAAGAACGCGCGAGTCTCATGGGCCAAAAAGGTGATCATAATTTGTTCACGCAGTGATTATAAAAATTATGAGAGATTTTCTTCGAGTGTGGCAAAGAAATTCCAAGGATTTATGCTCAAATTAATGTGCATCATTTAGACGGCAATTTGACCTCACCGCCAAAGGGTCAATTGTGAATTTCTCCATGTCTAAGCGCGCGGTCTCTTGATAAATCAATTTATACGCCAGTAATTTGTCAATTATTTTGCAAAGTTGAAACAGACAATGTTTCATCGCCGTTTCAGGATCAGGCAAAATGCGAAATGTTTCACCAAATCAACACGAGAAACTCGAGAAAGTCAGAAGAAAATGCTGTTGAAAATTAAAATTCAGGCCTTTAAGCCTAAATTTAGCATTTTCAACCAAAATCCTGCTTTAAGCCTTTGGCAATTCCTGCACGTTTCCACCATCACAGACGCCCCAACTCAGATATCAACTGAGGTTTTGATATCAAAAAGCCCCACACAGGCGCGCAAGCGAGACGGCAAGCGATGGGCGTGCTTCGTTACTTCGCCTGGGCGTGTCTTTTCACTCACCGGCGAGTGGAGTGTGACCCTTTTCCCAGCCACGGAGAAGGTAAACAGACCATGGAGTCATTTTTCAACATCTGTAATTGCGGACGGACCAAATCACAATTTCATGTGCTCTCAGAAATGCGCCGCTGAAGAGAAAAGCAGCAGGAGACCAAACGGCCTGATTAGCTGTTGAGCAGAGTGTCGGCGGAGGTGCGACAGAAGGGGCAGTGGCCCTTCTGGAGCACCTGCAGCTCGAAGTCCTCCGTGTGGAAGGCCTGAAAACACTCCGGACAGATGGTGATCTGGAGCTCAGGCAGCAAGTTCCGATAGAAGCGCGTCCTGAGCGGCGTTGGCCACTTGGCGATCAGCACAGAGCGCGCATCCATGGCTCTCAGAGACTCTCTGTCCAGCGCCACCGGGAAGGCCTCGCTGAGATCCTTAAAACAGCACCAGAAACGTGTCAGAGAGACAGACAAATAGTAAATGCTGAAGAATACTCACTTCGTGAATCATGGTGTCTGTGAAGGGATCAGGATGGTGCTCATTGAGCCTCGGCGGCGCCAAGAGCAGTCTTTCAGCCTCCGCATCCGTGATGTCCGACTCCAGGTGGAACTCCACCAAGGGCAGAATCTCAAAGGACACAAAGGAAAAGACGTACGACTGCTGACAACTGGGACAGACATTTCCCTGCAGATGCGAGCTGTAGTTGGAGCATTTGTAGCACATCGGCAGCAATTCCTCCGGATCACTGAAGCCCGAGGCGGCGCGACTGGAGAGAAATGTCGCATCCACTTGCTCTTGCACTCCAGGCGGCGCCTTGAGTGTCTGCAGACGATTGTTCACCTGCAGATGCAGCTTCTTCGCCCCCAAGACTTTGGCCTGCTTCGACAGCGTGTACAGCACAGCGAAGAGACTCACACCCTTGGGCGGGAGACTCTTCTCGATCTGATTCGCCACGAAGCGACTGGTGTTGAAGAGCGTGAGCGGCGGATTGCTGGTGAAGGGCTCTCTGAGGTAGTTGTGGATCGTGCTGTAGGCATAATAGACGGTGCAGAGGCGCAAGAGGGATTGGAACTCAGCCACACTCTCCTGGACATCGTCCGTCTCCACGTCCAGCAGTTGCAACGTCTGCTTCGCCCTCAGCCAGATGTAGTATCCCGCATCGGCGAATCTCTCCTCGCTGATCGAGCACTCCGCCAAGTCCCTGAGCAATTTCGTGGCTTCCTTGGGCTTCCCGGCCAACACAAAAGCCCTGTGAGCAGCGATGAACTCATCCGACTCCGCCAGCCACTGAGCGTGCTGCAGATGAACAGAGGGCAGAACTTGTGGCAGATGTTCAGCCAATCTGAACGCCTCTGGCCAATCCCGCGCCTCCACATGAAGCTGCACCACTTGAGCCTCCTCGCCCAGCTTCCGGTAGATCTCAGCAGCCAGCGGCAGAGCCTTCAGACGCCTCAAGTGACTGGCCACGAGACTCAGGCTCTTGCTTTCCGAGGAGTTCAGCCTGCGTCCAATGTCCAGCAGCACATCTGACCATCCCTGCTCAGCCACGATCTCTATGGCTCTCTCAGACTCACCGGCGGCCAAGAGAAGCTCCGCCGCTGCCCTCGGCTCGTGCACAGAACAAGCCCACTCCGCCCTGCGACGCACCAATTCCCTCTTGTCCGCCGAATCGCCTTCCTTCAGGAACTCCTGCGCCAAGTCGAACATCCTCAAGTCGCTGTACATGGACAGAGCCTTGGAACTCTGTCCGCTCTTCTGATAGAGCCTCGCTGCCTCCTTGAACTTCCCACCGAAAGCCATGATGTCCGCCTGGAGGACTTCCTTGGCCACATCTCCGCGCTTCTGCTTCTCCTTCAGCTCCAGAATGAGATTCAGCCACGGCAGATTCCTCACCTTCACATAAGCATCTCTCGCCACACTCAATTCCAGACTGTCCAGAGCTGCTTGCGCCAAACCCTCCCAATCCGACATTGGCACTCCCAGGCAAGCCACATGGTAAGCATCCTCGAAGAGATTCGCCTCCACGAACTGCCACATCGTGGCACCGAGAGCTAGAGGAACGTTGCTCATCACATTCCCGCGCAGACAGAAGGCCGTTGATCCTGTGAGTCCCACAACGACGCCCAGGAGACTCTGAGGATTCCTGGGCGGCAAATTCCCCACGCGGATGCTCAATCCGCCCGCGGTGTGAGAATAGCACAGCATTGACTCGAGGTGAGTGTTCCAGGCGACAGAATTCACTCCTGAATCCTGATACAGCAGAGTGTCTGTGGTGAGATCTCTGACCACCAGTCGGCCAGCGTCATCCACAACGGCCAGTTTGCTCCTGGTCGAGTTGAGATCCAAGCACCGCACGGACGACAGCACTGTCGTGACGAGAATGGGCAGCGCATTGTCCAGGAAAATGCGCCACACTTCGCCACTCTTGAGGCCCAACAAGAGTCCCTCGTGACCCGGCGGACCGCCAGTCACTTTGATGTACCTGATGAAGCTGTCCATGTTCCACTCGCGCTGCAGCACACCGGCGAAGTCCAGACTCTGCAGCTTCTTCTCATGGCACAACACAATGTTCTGGGCACAGACGACCAGGAGGCTGCACTCGAACTTCTTGGCGATCTTCTCCTTCACTCTGTAGTGCATCGGCTGGTTCTCCGCCGAATTCAGCTCGTAGAGCACCACTCGCTCAGGCAGCTGCACAGCCAGGCGATTGCGGTAGATGGCGATCTTGTGCACCAGATCGCGGCATTTGATGCGCACCTTCTGTCCAGACACCAGATGCTGGATTATCACGTCGCACATGTTCTCCCGGAAGGCGTAGCGCTCGCGGTACAGCGCATGGACGGTGCTGAAGGCAACGGTGTAGCACGCCAAGGTGCCATCCTGAGATCCCACCATCTGTTGCAGAGAATTAAGAATTAGTAATAAACTGTGTCTAAGAAGAGAAGAACTTTCTTTGCACTCACAATTGAGCCTCCTTGAGGGTGAATAGCCACTGTCCAGATCCACGAGTCGTGCATCTCGCCCAGACTGCCCAGTTTCACCCCGTCTTTGGTCAGAAGCTGCATTTGTTTGTTGCATCCGGCGACCACGAGAAACTCGCCGTCCGGGAAGAAGTTCACGCACAGCGGATCGAATCCCAGCGTGCGCTCCTTGCCCACCAGCTGTCCGCCGAGCGTGTAGAAGCTCAGCGTCTTGGACCAGTCCACCACAGCCAGTGTGTCGGCATTTGTGGAGCCCGGAGGATTCCAGGCCACCCCGAAGATCGCACTATTCGCCCCTCCGGGACGCTCAATGCGGTTCTTCTCGTCTCCCGCCTTGTTCCGGATGCTGACGGAACCATTGGCCAGACCAAGGGCGAGATACTGCCCATCGTTTGTCCAGGCGCACGAGTTTATTCTCGCCGGGGTTTTGTACTTTTGCACAGCCTTCTGCTCAGCTGACCAGAGAGCAAAGTCTGAGACGGCGCAGGAGGCGAGCTGGTGGGAAACTGGGTTGAAGGAGAGACACTGGACGGCATCGCTGTGGGAGTACTTCAGCATGCCCTCGAACTTGTGTGTCCAGATGATGACACTCTTGTCTGTGCTTCCGGAGGCGAATTTCTTCCCGTCTCTCGCATACGCCACGGCGTAAATGGTCTCCTTGTGGCCACGCAGTGTCTCCAGGAGTGTGCCATTCTGCGTCTCGTACACCAGGAGCTTCTCAGCCGCTCCCGCCACCACATGGAGTCCCTCCGGGTGGAAGCAGACAGCATGAATGCTGGAGAGAGAGAGAGAGAAGCACAGTGAGAAAGGTAAACAAACTCCTTGCGTGTGGAAAACTCACCTCGCGTGATCACTCTTCTCGCCGGGCTCGTGGATTTTCTCTACCCACTTGGGAACTGCTCGCATTTTCCGGGGAAAATCGCCTCTCAAGCCTCGCTATTGAGGGTATTTCCTCAGCTTTTGCGGCGTGATTTCGTTGCCACGGTGATGCGAGATTGTGTGCGAGAGCGCCACTAGCGCCAATGTGTATGTACACGGAGAAAATTCACACACTCTCACGCATGACAGTTGGCCGGAAGTACGCCATTTTGACGGCATCATTTCGCGGCGAGTCTCGCAGAAAGAGTGACTTTGTGCTCGCAAGCGTGTGCCAGCGGCCAGCGGAGAAATCATTAGGTGAATTTAGAAGACTCTCTGGGCAGTTTGCGGGGGCGCAAGTGGGGCGACTGGCGTGGCGCTATTATTTGTCCATTCCGCCATGTTTGAAGTTCGATAGGTGGCCACAATTTCAGCTTTTGTCGTTCGTGTTGAAACGCGTCTAGCGCGTAAATTTTGGAAATATGAAGAAGGTCATACAGCCAAATGTCAGAAAGGTAGGTGGCGACGGTGCCGTAGATGGTGTAGAAGTGCCCACCGGCGGGGAAAAACGCGGAAATGTGTGGTGGAAAAGTGTTTGTCGATAGCGCGTAGGTTTTACGGGGCAATTAGACGCGTTGGATGGTGGCTAGCGGTGGCGAGTGGGCAAAAGCGGCCGGGAGGCCCTGTTTTGGCCACTTTTGCGGCGCGCTCGTGATTCTCAGCTAATGCACGTTTCTCTCCGGGCAGGTTTACGGGCCGAGTATGCAGCAGCAGCAGACGGAGATTCAGATGAATGCCGTCCGGAAGATCAACAGCCTGCTGTCGACGGGCGCGGTGAGCGTGACGGGCCCCACACAGCCGCGCATCCTCAAGCAGAAGCCCCAGATCTTCGGGCTGAACAGCCAGCAGTCACAGAAGTGCTACGTGTGCGATGAGGCGTGCGGCATTGGGGCGTCGGTGCTCCTGGACACACTGACGCCGCACTCGCACTCCAAGCTGCCGAACAAGATTGGCCGTCTGATTGGGGACGCCTTCCTGGTGATTGTGCGTGCCGACGATGTGGTGTGCAAGCGCTGCGTGAGCCTCTTCGGCCGCATGGACAGCCTGGAGACGGAGCTGGAGCGCATCCGGAGCAACGTGCTCACATTCATCTGCAAGAAGTACGGCATCACAGAGGACGAGATCCGTCCGGGTGGCGTGAACAGCGGGCCGCCGCCGGCCAAGGTGCAGAAGATCGCCGGCGGCACGAAAGTGGTGACGCGAATCCTGGCCACGGCCGACCACGATGACGGCGAGGAGGTGCGCAAGCTGGCCAGGACAGAGGCGGCGGAGTACGAGAACACAGAGGTGCGCACGATGCCGGCGCTGGTGCGGGCGTCCACGAACAGCAGCGCCGTGCGGAAGGTGGTGTCGTCCGGGCAGCCGGCGCAGCGGGAGCCCATCAAGATCTACCGGTGCGCCACGTGCGATCACACGACGCCCGACCTGAAGCAGTTCCAGGCGCACTACGAGACGTGCCGCAGCACGTGGCCGTGCAAGGTGTGCCGGAAGATCTTCACCACGTCGTCGGCACTGAAGCAGCACACGGCGGAGAAGCACCCGTCGGACTACACGTGCCACTTCTGCAATCTCAACTTCCTCAACGACACCGCGTACAAGAAGCACCTGGAGGTGTCGCATCCGGACGTGAAGCTGGTGGAGAGCCCGGCGGCGGCCACGCCCGCCAACCAGACGGGCGCCGGCCGCGGCGTCATCTACACATGCAGCATCTGCCAGTGGAAGACGGGCGAGCGGCTGGCGTACGAGGATCACATGCGGAAGCACAACAAGATGAAGCCATTCAAGTGCCGTATCTGCAATATGCGCTTCGAGACGAGGGAGAGCGCAAGTAAACATGCCAAAACCCACCAGCCGGACTACTTCAAGTGCGGCGACTGTGCCGCGTCATTCCAGCAGCGTGAGCAGCTCATGAAGCACTTCGAGGTGCACCACAAGGCCGGTGGCCAGAAGGTGGTGGTCAGCAGCAACAGCACGCCCACATCGCAGAGTGTCACGACGCAGAAGCTGCTCCAGGAGACCATCGACGAGGCGCTGCGTGACTCTGGCGACGGCCTGGATCCCAAGGGCATCCACTTCTTCTCCTGCAACATCTGCTCGCTGACGTTCATCCAGGAGAACTACTACAATCAGCACATGGAGACCCACAAGCGGGACACGAAGAAGGTGAGCACGGCCGGCACACTGCCCACTGTCTCTGCGGCGGCCACCACGGCGCAGAGGCAGAGTCTCATCCGGCAGGACGTGAGGAGCACCAATGCCACCATCCTGGGCACGCAGGGCGCCACGATAAGTGACGCCGATCTGGAGAGCATCTTCGAGAAGATGCACGCGGAGAAGGGCGATGGCGACGCCGCGAGCGCCGTGCAAACCACCACGAGTGACAATCTCGTCATCACCAAGCAGTCCACGGCCAGCGGCGGGATCACGTACAACATCACCATCCCGCAGCAGCAGGACGGAAGCACCGCAGTACAAGAAGCGGGTGGCGGAAAAGTTGTAAGTCCCTTTTTTTCACTCTCGTTGACATTAGCGTGCTGGGGCGTCGCCTTCCCCGGGGGCTGATGAGTGTCTCGAGGTGCGGACAGTTGTTAGTCGGCTTCATCACCCACTCTCGTATGCACAGTGACAGAGTTTAGGGAATTTAGGCGTCGTTGCAACTTTACTTTCATACCATTTTAAATGGGATGACAAGAATATGAATTCCTTAAGAGGTGTTGCAAGATTGTGATTCATATCATTTACAAAAGTGGGGAATTTATCTTCTGCGAGACCCTGAAATGTTGTCGCTTGACGTCAATTCACATTTTTCGTCGCGTGCAGAGAAGAAAAGCCGGAAAATTCACGTGAAAACCAAGGAAAAAGACAATAATGATGTATTTATTGGATTTTTCCGGCCATTTGTGCACATTTTAATGCACCCGATTGACGTTATGTGTTTCCGGACATCCTTCGATCTATTCTGAGGAAACTTATTGACTTTTCAAAGCATTTGCAAGTAAATTCAAAGCTATGTTTGCTCTTCACTTACACTAAAGAACATTTCCTAACTTCCACTTCGGGAAAATTGCCAGAAACTGGGCGGAAGGTGGAATATTCTACCTTAAAAACACTCTCAAATAGCAAATCTCGCATGAAATGACTTTCTGACAGCTGAAATTCTTGCCTTTCAATGCCTTTTCGTTCATGTTTCATTCGTAATTTATACTAGCGCCACCGAGCGGTCGTCAATATAAGCTATGAAAAGCGTACTGATGCAACACTAATTTTGTAGCTTTTACGAACTGAAATATGAAATCTGCAATGTTGCAACGACTCGTTAGTCACAAATGACACGCAAAGCGCAATTGTAGATCAATTCTGGGGACAAAAGAGTGCAATTATTTGCCATTCAAGAGCATTTTAGTGGATATTCTATTATTATTTGCCAGCCTTTGAGAATCTCTTTTTTCTGCACGAAGCTTTTCATGGAAATGTTTCACATTTATTCTGAACTGATACGAAAACGTGTGATGCAATCGACGATTTGCTTAACGTGAAAGAAAACGTCAGCAAAATGTTTCATATTTTATGATTATCTCAATTTATACACAAAAAATTAAACTCTTCCTTCTTTCCTTTAAAGCCTCTTTTTGGGCTGTTTTCTTCGAAAAAAGTTGTTACTAATTTAATTGACGATCCCCAAAGAAATTTAAGCGTATCAGCATCAAAAATGCTTCGTTTGCTGATTTTTTTCCTTGATAAAAAACTCTTTTTTTGCGAAGGGAAATTGAGTAGATTCGCAAGTTTCTCCCTTTAATCTCGATTGATATTTATGCAATGTCACTCTGTGTGTGTGTGTGTTTGTGTCGGTGGAGGAGAGTGAATGAGATGAAAAGGGGGGCGAAGAATGGGTGAAACTCAAACCCAATTTTCACGTGGAGTTTATTGGAAGCTGACAAAATAGCTTCCAACTTTTCATTACAAGTGCTTTTTTGCTGTTGCTCTATTGCATCACGAACGGTCGAGGGGGGAAAAGCGTAACTCGGCAACGCGCGCCCTTTGAAGTGCATCGAGGCAAATTGCATGGATGGTAGGAAAAAAAGGGGTTTTTCACTGGGGATTTCATGAGTGTGCAGAATAGAAATGGAATTTATTTAAATGGAATGTATTTTAAAGGATCATCGAGTGGAAAAAGAGAGAAATTCAGATGTAGAAACTCGTTCGTTTTGATTCCTTTTTTGCCTCTCTCTGTGCAATTATGCACTTTTATGCTTTTGCCACTCGATGGCCTTAACCCTGTTTCGGCATGACTTGCACAGATTGCGGCATTTTCTCCCCGTGGCGCGCATTGGGCGCAAGAGAGAGAGAGAGAGAGACAGAGAGAGACGGAGACTGACTGCGTGTGTTGTGATATTCCAGATATTCCATGCAAATGAGGGCGAAGGCGGCCAGATCTCGGCCGGCATCGATATGCCGGTGCTGGACAACATGGACGAGAGCGAGGCGGCGCAGCAGCAGCAGGAGGGGCACCAGCAGCAGCAAGAGGCTACGGAGGGCGGCGCGGCGGAGGCGGGAGGCGACGCCGCGGCCAGCGGAGCGCCGGTGAGCATGCCGAGTCTCGATGATGACGCCGACTCGCAGAGTCAATCGGCCAACATTGACGCCGTGCCGATGGAGCTGGATGAGATGCAGAGTGGCGTGGAGGGGGAGCAGATAAAGTTCATACTGAATGAGAATGGGCAGCTGCTGCAGCTGGACAATCACATCATCACGACGGACGCGGATGGGAATCAGATAATCGTCCAGGGCGCCGACTCGGAGCATCTGCAGCAGCTGCTGCAGTCTGTGGCGGGTCTGGATGGCAGTACAATCCAGATGATTGGGGACAACAATCAGATGATACTCGTCCAGCAGGGCGACGGCGAGCCACAGCTGCTGGACGCGTCGCTGCTGAATGCCGACGGACACATTGTGATCCAGCAGGCGCAGGATGGCGAGAGCCAGAGCTCAGAGGACGTCCAGATTCCCACCACGGTGGCCTACACGACGGCCGGGGGGCAGGTGAACGCCGAGGATGGCGAGCACCAGGCGGAGGAGGAGCAGCAGCCGGTGGACGGCGAGGTGGTGGGCGAGCAGACGCAGGAGGTGGTGGGCGAGCAGCCCATGGAGACGGAAGAGGAGGAGGTGGCCAAGGAGGTGACGGAGGAGCAGGAAGTGGAGCAGCAGGTGAAGGAGGACACGGAGGAGCAGACGAAGGTGGCCGATGGCGAAACTGAGGGCACGCCAGTCACGTCTGTGCAGACAACAACATCGTCAGATGTGTTTTTCAACATTGACGACCTCATGGGACATCCAGAAGCGGAGCAGAAGGTGAGAAAACGCTTTATTTGGAGCTTAGAGGAAATTGATCTGGGCGAAAATCGCTCTGTTTACAGTCGCGCAGAAAGTCAAACCTTCCAAAATCGACTAAAATGACATCAGGGAGACCAAATTTGACGAAATCTAGCGGCATTACTGAGGGGGGTTACTTTTTTGGGTGCTGTCCGTCCGTCCGTCTCTCGTAAATGGACTTGTAGCGTCTAAACAGTAAGAGATATTGACATGCAGTTTGCACCAAAGGTTAAAAGTTATTGAGCCGCTAGACCTTAGCGATGTTAAATTCAACCCCCCACCCTTTTGTCCGCCATTTTGAATATCCCCAAGACACATTTTGCTCATTTATTCAGCTCCTTTGGCATGGATTGCGCCCAAATTTTAGAATGTTATAGCTGCTGTCAAGATCTTTCCAACGTACTGACACTTAAGGACCTAGGTCCTTCCAGATCCTAGACTTCAGTGCCCAAATTTCGAAATTTTAAATAACCATAACTTCTCTTCTAATTATCCAATCTAAAGAAGATAAAGGTTATTGAAAAGGTCTCGTGAAATGCAATCTCTCACTTAAATATCATAACTTGATTAAACTACCGCTAGAGGCGCTAAAATTGGAAAAACGGTTTTTGAAAATCCAAAATCAATTATCTCGGTTAAAAGGTTGTGCATTTTCTTTAAATTCTAGGATGGTTTAGCTAAAGTTGAGACCTGTCCAATAAACCCACATTTATGTAGATTTAAATTATAGGCGCGGAAATATGGAAGGTCAAAGTTCACAAACATTTACCGGCCGATTTCAATTACTTCTTCACCAAAATGCGTTTCTCTTAGTTGAACGTTTCTTTAGTAGATCACATTCACCATTAGTCTGTGACGTCATAGCGAAGGACGCCATATTGAATTAGCTTTGAAAGCCTGTTTCTCGGCAAATCTCTTATGCATTTTGATCATTTTGATGAGATTTTAGTATTGATTGTGTGATTTTGCGTGTCTTTTCTAGTGAACAAATGGAAGTCACTGCGCGGCGGAGGATTTGATTCCTTCGGCCGGAGGAGAAGACAGACAGAAACACTGGACGGGAGCAAGAGAGTGCAGGTAATGTTAGTAGAGAAAAAATATATCTGTAAATGCAATTAAAATATTGGAATATTAGTGGATATATTGAAGATAGCGAAAGAGAGAGAGAGAAAGAGAGAAAAGTTAAATGTGTGAGGAAGAAAGGAGTATAAATTGGGATTGAGATTTCTTTTATATATATGAAGAGAAGAAAAAAAACTAGTTTCAAAACATGATAATTGGATAAAGACGCTTCAAGGATACTTTGAGGTTATTTCAAAGGATTGATTAAATTGATGAAAAAAATCCACCTTTTGGGCGGAAAAGATGATGATTTATGGGCAGTATTGAAAATGGAAGAAAAAACCTAAATTACAAGAGAATGTAATTTTTCTATAAAACAGATTTGATGATTGTGAGAGAGAAAGAAAGAAAGAAAGAGAGAAGAAATTTGACATAATTTTGATGAATGCAATTTTATGTTGTAGATTTTTGACGATGAGAGAAGTGTGAAGAAAGAAAAAGCATAATTGAGAAATTATCCTTTATCACTAGAGAAAAAAGAAAGGAAGAAAATCATGAATAGGAAGGAAATTCAAAATACAATATTAATTATCTTAAAGAGAATAATAGGGTTTATTGATGATTAAAGAGGAAGAAAGAAGAAAAAATATGTGAGAGAGAGAAAAGAGAGCATCTTTACACTCTTTTTTCCTTTCCCTTCGCGCGCCACCCTTTGAATCCCTGGCCAGGAGCAAAGCATTAATGTTCACCCCACATCCTTTTAATCATTTTGCAAGACACAAGACAAAAACAACAAAATACGCAAGAGATGTTAAGAAGAAGACACACAAAAGGAAGAGGAACACAACTAAAGAAATATATTTTAAAGAAGAAGAAAAAAAAGAGTCCCCAGAAAAACAGTCTCTCATGATAGCAAAAAAAGAAGAAGAAAAGAAAATGTAATGAAGAAGAATTGTTCAAATCAAAAGCATGAATTAATGGGAAAAAATGACGAGAAAAAGAAAACAACAAAAATATATCTCTTTTGAAGTGTAATTTAAAGAAAAAAAAAATACAAGAAGAAAAAAAGCTAAAAACACATACAAAAAAATTAGACTTTAATAATTTAGTTTTACTTTTAAAGAAAAAAAATCCTTAGCTTCTAAGTGAGTTTGATTGGAAGAACAGAGAAAAGAAGAAGAAGAAAAAAAAATGATAGTGAAAAAACACACACATTCTTGGATTTGAAAGAAAATTTTCAATGACATAAGAATTCTTTTAAGAAACTGAGAAGAATGAAGAGGAAAAACACAATATTGTAAAGAAACTTTTTCACCAATTTACTTAGGCAATGAAAACAACAAAAAAAACAAACATTTTATCATTAATTCACAAATTGTTCTACGTAAAAAAAAAGAAAAATCCTTTTCCCGCCCCCTTTTTATTCAGCAAAAGAAAAATCATAATTTATATTTACAAACTATTATAAATGAATGAGAAAAGATAAATTGCAAAATTTCACAGCAAAAAAGGACGTTAATTTGTTCGACATTTTAGTTAGTTTAGAAATTGATGGAGAGATTTCTGAAGAAGATGAAGAAATAAAAAACAAGGAGAAGAGAAAAACACTAAAAAATGAGAGAAACTGATTTGTAATTTAAAGAGAAACAACAAAACATGAATAAAAGCAAATAAATGCAAGAGAGGCGCCTTTATTCACTCCTCTTTTCGCCGATTTTTGTTACTTTATGGAGGCGCTCGCGAGGCGACTCGTGAGTTTCTGTCCGGCCGGCGTCAGGAGCGCGTTGTCCTGCCAAGTGGCTTCGCCGGAGGCGTTCGTCTTGAGATCCGCTTGGAGTTTCTCCCACACTTTCTTCTTGGGATTCAGCTGCTCGTCCGGGGCGCCCGGGAAGCCCTCCACGGTGATCCTGTCGCCGGGATTTGCGCCCTCGGGCACAATCAGAGGCTCCACTTGAGTGTGATCAGCGTTGGAGGTGCACAAAACCATGCCTTTGGACTCCACGCCGCGCATCTTGGCCGCCTTCAGGTTGCACAGCACCACGACCAGGCGATTCTGCATCTCCTCCAGGCTCACGAAGTTCGCCAGGCCGCTGACGATCGTCCTGGGCGTCGGCTCGCCCACGTCGATGCTCTCCACGTACAGCGTGTCGGCGTCCGGGTGCTTCTTCACCTCCACCACGCGCCCCACGCGAAGATCCAGCCGATGAGGTCCGTCTTCGGAGCCATTCTCAGTCGCCTTGGGCGCGTTCTTCGCCTTCCCGGGCGCCGGATAAGCCTGTTCGGCCAGCTTTCTGTGCGGGAAAAGGTTAAGTTGTGCAATCGAGGTGAAAAATTGTGAAATTCAATGATTTTGACTCACTTCAATTCGGGACTCTCGAACACCTTCCGGATTGGATCCAGCAGACGATTAATGTAGCGCTCCACGGCCTCCTTGAGGTCTCCCGGATGGACTTCCTGCCGGGCGAAGGCTGTTTCCAGTTCTTCATAGGTCAGATAAGTGGAATCTCCGCCGAATTCCGGCTTTCTCTTCACCACGAATCCCTCGCCGGCCGGGAAGAGCGAAAAGAGGACGTGCTTGACGAAGGACAGCAACCCGTTGTCCTCAATGTTTCCGGGCTCGCAGAAGGCGCGCTTCAGCTTCTTCTTCACATTGGCCGCCGAGTCGATGAGGTCGATTTTGGAGTCTTCCTCGGATGAGGACATTTTCCCGCCCGCCAGGCCGGGAACCATTGGATTCATGAAGTGGATGCGCTTCTCGTAGCCCAACTGTGGCAAGTACTTCTCCGCGAACGTGAAGATCTTCCTCTGATCCACGCCGCCGAACTGCGCGTCCACCTTCAAGTACTCCTCGTCCAGCGCCTGCAGGCCGGGATAGAGGAGTCCGGAGAGGAGCGGATACTCCACCTGCTTCACCACCTCGGCGCCCGCCTTCTTCGCGTCGTGCTGCGTCACCACGGACGTGAGTTTGTACACGTCGAGCGTGTACTCCTTGGACAGCTGGTAATCCGTGCCCTTGACGAACTTGAGCTTCTCCAGCGGCACCCCGATGGATTGCAGCATCGCCTTGATGGCCGCCTCGTAGTACTTCACGCGGAGCTCCAGCAGCGCCCACGGGGCCTTCATGTTGTCCAGGTAGGCGTGCAGATCGGCGAACAGCACCGTCACCTCGCAGCCCGCCTTCAGGAAGTCCGCAATCTTGGACATGGGCACGAAGTAGGCGACATGGGGCTTCCCCGTCGTCGCCGTGCCCCAGTAGATTCTCACATCGCGCCCCTCCTTCAGGATCGACACCAGCTTGTCCTCGCCCAGTGTCTCCTGCAGATTCCGCGTGATCAGCTGCTTTTTCACCTCCCAACTTTCACCCATCTCTCTGCCAAATCTCTATCGCACAGCCACGTTTGCTCAGACTCCGGAAGAAACTGCTCCCTAACCGCACTTCCCCAGGCGTGTTCCGAAAAAGCGCGGGGGAAACTCCGTGACAGTTTGATTTGTTTTGCGCTTTTCCGGTTGGTGTTTTGTGATTCCCTGGGAAAAAACACCAGGAAAAATGAGTGAAACCCCCGGGAAAGCGATGATTTCCGTCCAGAAGATACGGACAATCATGAAGAGTTCAGCGGATGTTGGCTCAATCACCGCCGAAGCGATCCAGCTTGTTAGCAAATCAACAGTGAGGAAAAGTCTTTGGGAAAATGTTGTGTTTTTGTCTTAATTCGCCCAACCTGATCTCCTCCAGGAACTCTTTATTGCGGATCTGGCGAAAAATGCGATGAAGGATGTGAGTGCGAAGACGCTGGAGTACAAATTCCTGGCAGAATACGTCCAGCAGGAGCCGAAGCTGGAGTTCCTGCAGCAAATGGTGCCCAAGAAGATCACCGTGAAGGAGTACAAGAGGCTGCTAAAAAAGAGTGAGGAGGATGAGGTGCAGGAAATCTCAGATGACGACGAGTGCTCATCGTCGGCGTCAACTTGCTCGTCAGACAGCGGAAATGCTGACGATGCCATCAGTATTTCGAGTTCCAGTGTTATTGAAGTGTCCAGCAAGGGCAGTAAATAGACTTGTTATCCAGTAAAAACAGCACATCTTACTCAGTTGCGATTAGTAGTACAGAATATCGTTGATTTTGGGACCGTCGCGACCGTAGGGATCCATTGGCAGGAAGAATTGGTCCTTGAACCACGTGAAGCCCACAACTCTGGACCTTATGATGCAATCCCAGGCCTCGTTCCGGCCCAGGATGTCAGCGTAGTTGTCATTGGAGATCACGGCGCCGCGATTCTTCTCCGCCACCTGCATAATCAGCATGTCATCGTAGGTGGAAAGGCAGTGGCCGTCGATGTTCTTGGAGGGACTGAAGATGACTTTCCCCTGGAGATTGAGCTCATTGAGGAGTTTGGAGTTCGTGCAGAAGCGCGGCTTGACACGAAACAGCGGAACCACGGCCACGACTTCGTGTCCCTTCTTCTCAAAGTGCTCAATGGCAATTTTCAGGCCCTCCACGGAAAAGACTTTCTTCAGCACGGAGTGACTGGAAAGATGACTCAATTAGTGTCTCAAGGGACAATTCATCAGCAAATACTCACTGAAAAGCCACATTGCTGCCGTCAATGACGACAAATCTGGGCCTTTTGCCCTTCGCGCTGATCTGCGGCTTCTCTGGCGTCTTGGCGGACTTTCTCAGCCTCTTCCTGGCTGGCGATGGAACTGCAGACGAATTGGCAAAGCTGTCATCCTCGATAATGATCACTGAAGCGTCGGTCGATGGAACTTCTATCACATCATCGTCCGACGGGATGTTCTGCACGCTTTCATCCTTCCTGGCCGTTGCATTCAAGTAACTCGACACCATCACCACATCGCTGCAGTCCAGGGAATCCTCACTGATCTCCTGCACTTCATCCTCATCGTCCTGCGTCGTGGAATCGCACAATCCCTCCTCCTTTTCCTCCTTCTTGGGTGGCTTGTGCGACTCTGCGACGCTTGTCTTCCCGGCGGGCGCGAGAAAAGCCAGAGATTCATCACAATTAGGGTCCTGACTCGGCGCCGCCGTCGTCGACGGACCGTCTTTGGGCTGAGAAACTGCAGACTGAACTGTGCTGTTGTCCAGAGGAATATAATCGCCGGACAGAGTCATTCTCTCCAGCAACTTCTGCTGCGCCTGAAAGGGAAAAGGAAGATCATTTCCCGCATTAATCACAATAATTCCTGATCGATGACTCGTTAGATTTCCTTCCTGAGATCATAAATAATTCAAATTATGTACAACTTGTTGCCGCGAAGAAACTCCGGCGCAAGTGCGTGGAAAATCGATACTCATTCCTCTGACTGTAACTAATAATCGTGTGTTGAGTGCAATCAAAAGAATTCCGCTGTTGCAAGAGAGAAATTATGGAAAATCTGTGGCTCGAAGTGTGTTCACGGCAGAAGATCAATCAAAATGCCACACAAGAGTGGCTCGGGAAGATCCTCAGGAACTATTCACAGGACGAACGGGCGTATCACAATCAAAACGATATGTTTGCACACAAGGAAAAGTACCTTCGGGAGGGAAAGGCCAGCGATTCGGTGATTCTGGCAGCAATCTTTCAGTACTACTCCTTCGATCCCAAGAGGGACAGTCACACGGAGAATTGCCAGGCATTCAGGGAGTTCCTGGCGGAGGCAAGCTTGGCCGAGGTGAGTCACACACGCCCTTGTTTTGTGGAAACTTATGGCGCTAATTTGACGCCCTTTTCAGGCGCCTCTTGGGAAGTACGTGAGAAAACTCCTCGGCGAGAATATCGCCGAAGATTTGGAGGGATTCGATGAAGATGCACAGTTTCTGCAGGATTTGGATCTCGCCATCCTGGGTGGATCTCCGGAGGAGTACAAGAACTACACGGAACTCCTCCAGAAGGAGTACAAACACTTGAACACGGACTCTTACAAGTCAACACGATTGAAAGTGAGCTTAATCTTCGGCGGTTTGTTGAACGCTTTCTTGTTAAAATCTAATCTTTTGGCAGATTCTAAAGACATTTCTCACCATTCCGAGAATCTACTCGACAAACTTCTTCCGCGAGCGCCTCGAGGAATCGGCCAGGCGGAATATCAAGAAGGAAATTGAGGAATTGAAAGCATAAAAGCTGTGAAAATCACTCGCCAGTCGTTCTTCGGTTGTTATTGCATATGCAAAATTCGCTTAAATTCTCCCAATATATATATCAATAAATCATCTCACGGTAAAACTCACAGAGCATTCGCCCAAGTCCTCCGGCGTGGCCAGAAGATCTTCACAACTTCCTCTGATTCCGCTCTCATCGCACAGGCAATTGACGGCGCTTTTCGGCACGGCTGTCTTCGAGAGCGCCGTCTTGTTCCTCAGACGCAACAAGTCCTTGGCATAGAAGTGCTTGTCGCACAGGAAATTCCTCCTCCACAGCGGAGGATTGCTGCAATGCTTCATCCAGATCGCTTTCTGGGAGGAATCTTCGGGAAACTCAAACAACAGAATTGATTGCTCTTTTTGCTTGCTTCGACCGCATCCTGGGAATCTGCAGGTCAGATTCTTGTTGGGATTCTTACTTAGGTCGCTTCCTCCGCGAATTGGCAGGATTACGTTGTCTCCCAGGCTCTGCAAAGGACACAAAGAACAACACGAAGAATATCCAGTCAAATGCTCTTAAGTTAAGAGAATCTCTCTTGCTTATTTTCACCTGAGCGGAGAATTGATTCACCGGAATATTCGTCCGTGTCGCTGAATCCTTCAACACCTTGTGCATTGTCTGTCCTCTGGTCCACTTGAAGGGATTATTTCTGTGCTTTTTGCGTGCATTCATTCGAGACAATTTCTTATTGTTTGGTGATGTTGTCAATGGACTTTTCTGGTTAGTTTTTTGAACGCCTCGTTTCACATCTTTGCTCAAATTCCTCCTCCTTCCCATCGCTGTTGATTGGGCAAAACTTCACTCGCAGTCTTTATTCACAGGATTTATGACAAATTTCCAATGATATCCACGTGATTTTCAGGAAAATTGTACACTTTTCACGGAGTGGAAGCAACAAATTTGACGTTTAGTTGAGCGCATAAAATTTAATCGAAGATCGACAATTTGAAGAGTCTCACATTTCAACGTTTAGTTAAATATTAGTCGAGCGAGTCGAGCTCATAAAGAAGTGATTAACATTTTGCGGACAAATGATGAATGTTCCTCTCACAATGAGGGCCTTGGACAGAAAAATGTTTCTCTCCTAGCAATTTGCTTATTTTCCCCCCTGTTTTTGCTGAGGATTGCAAAACACATGATTGTTATTTTCAAATCCGCCGTCGGCGCGACTGAACGAAAGGCCGATGAACTGCACGAACGTCTTCGGTACGTCTGCTAGAATTTTGCACGAGTGTGTGCCAGTGTTGCGATTTCTTGGAAGTGTTTTATGTAATTTTCTCAGGCAGACTTGACTCCCTCGTTGCCAGTCAGTAATCGCAGGCAAATCCCCACGTTCTGGTGCATTTCCACAGTTTGAGTGCTGCTCCGCTGAGTGTGTGAAAATCAGAGTGAAAAGTGTGGAATTTTCGGGGTCTTGCGTCATCCGCTGAAGAAATTGCCAATTTTACACGCTTTCCGCGCTGCCCCGGGGCATGAGCCTGTAGAGAACCGCGTGCAAACACGGCCGAGGCAGCGAGAATGGAAGGGACGTTCCAGGACGACGCCACGGATCCCATCCGTGTGCTCTAGCGCCGAGGGAAAGTGCTGAGCAGCGCTGCTTTGCGGCCATCCGGAAGCGCCTTCTGCGATTCCCACACGTGCGCCCAGGTGTTGATCCGTTGGACACTTCCGCGCTGGATGATCCAGGACAATCATGGCAACCATGAAGAACGGCTCCACGAAGAAGCTGAACCTCCTCTCGCTGGTCAAGTACGAGCACCTCGTGGCCGGGATCTCGGGCGGAGTCACCTCGACACTCATCTTGCACCCTCTCGACCTGATCAAGATCAGATTTGCAGGTGATGATTGTTTCCTTGGGGGATTTTCCCCGCGTTCTTCAGCAAATTCCGCTCCCCCGAAAATTGCTAAACTTCCTTATCAACTCGCGCGTCTCAAGGAATTGATTTTCGTGACCTCTAGAATTCCCAACATCAACTCCTCTGCGCGCCCCCCTTATCAGTTGCCATAAGCATGGGATGGAGAGTTCATAAACTATCATTTTTTTCTGGCACAGCGATAAGAAAATATTCAGCAATTCACGCACTAAAGCTTCTCTCGCGTGATTCATTTTAATGTCATTTCACACCCAAAAACATCTGCTAATTAAACTGTTGTGACCAAATTGTGACCTGTTGAAGTTTCTTCGTGACGCGCATCATTGGAATAATAGCATTTTACACTCCAAAAAAAAAGAAATCTCGAGCCTATCAGAGACGCTGCAAATGGGCTGGTTCACGAGGTCTCCAATGGCAATAATTCCTCTGTCGTACGTTGTTTTCACTCTTGTTGATAACGCGCGACAGAGGCTCGAATTTGATTAAAAAATCCGTGTGTGGAAAACAAGCGATTAGAGACTGTGAAAATATTGTGAAAATAATTGCCATGCTAAATATTTGTTGCTGAAGATCTCAAGTTGAGGAGGGAAAAGAAAAAAATGTCATGTTTGCATGGGCAATTCGAACCAGAATTACGTGTTTTAGCGCACTTATGAACAATGGAAATGCCATCGATTGCTGGAGAAGAATGTGAATCATGATTTCGAGGAAAAGAATGTTTTGCTCAAGACGTCTTATTTGCACAGTGTTGTCTAGGCATTTTGGGTTTCCCCTTGAAGCTATTCAACACATTAAAGAGTGTGGCAAATTTGTTACTTGGCCAATAGGTTTTGGGAGTTTGGCGTCAGATATGCCCATAAAATGCATATTGGCTGAAAGAACCTTGTCACAAAGCGATGAATAAAACCAACATGACAGACAATTTCTTGCTTTTCTTTGTCTTCAAATGTTTCTACGTTGAAAGATTTCATAAAATGCTCTCTTTCTTTCTTCTTTCCGCACTTTGTTGCATAAAGTGTTGCGTTTGTGATTAAATGAACCATAAATGGGCGGAGCATTCGAGTGGGCGGAGCTTTGAATTGTTTCCAGATCAGTGAATTTCTCTGTTACATTTCAGTTACCAAGCAGATTTTAGACTTTCTCAGCCAATAGAAATTGGCTTTCTAAGTCATTCTTTCTAATCTACCCTAAAAAAGAGCGTGCATTTAATTGAGAAGACACTGAAAGCATTGCTCAAAGCACAATTTATCGTTTTATGTGTATTGAGAAGCCGCCAGAAAGAGCCAAATCTCTAGCCAGAAGAAATTAGGGCTTCTGTGGCTTTTAAAACTAATACAGACATGCGGGTGATCCACGGGAGGATAAGCGAGAGCGCGAGCGTTGGTTGAGCCATAAAACGAGAATGATTTCTTAATATCTCCTATAAATGATTTCTTGCTCTATTTCAATCATTCAATTCTTCTGCGAATCATCAATTTTCACAATTCCAACGTAAAATTTCATGTTTTTCATAAAATGTAGACAAAATAACTAATCAAGTGACAGCTGAGAGCTTCACGAGCCAATATTGGCGCTAGTGTCGACAAAGAAGAATAACTTCTGAGTGTGAATAGCGCCAGATCAGCCACGACTTGTCGTTAATCTGACCTTTACACACTCCAATTGCTCATCCACGGAGGAATGATCTCAATTCTCGTTGATTCCAGGGTAAACCACAAGTCTGTAGTTGCTCTTAAGTTCAAGATAAGAGTTGTGGGGTTCAAAACATCGCGGTTTCTTTTGAGTAGTCTCAAGCGCCAGAGCCTGGTCACATCGTGTCTCTTGGCTTTCGGGAGGAAAGACGTTCTCTGTTGTCTATCTTAATTCCCGGCGAATGTTTTGCGCTCGCTAATCTCCATGACAGTGTCTGTTGTGGGCACGTGACGGGGGTTTATTTTCACCGAAGGTGTGCGAAGAGCTCACAGCTCGATAAGGCACACTCTCGCGCCCGTGCATTCTCTCAATCGATTTCAATTAACCCTGAACTCTCCCACTTTCCCCACCCTCCTTTCCTCCGCCGTCGTCGTCGTTCTAATGCCGCCGCCGCGAGAGCAGAGAACCGTTGCTGGGAAGCTCAAGTGCTCGGGCGTCAATGACGAAGTCTCTAGAATGCACTTAATGATGCACACACGAGATCTGGTGACCGTGGTTTTCTCTCATTTCCTCTCCGCGATGTGCACAAGTTCAAGGAGCGGCGGAGACACTCGAATTTCGCGATTAACTGTGAATTTTGGACTTCTTTTTTTCGTATGTATTTATCATGTTGAGGAAATTTTCCAAAATGATCGTCAAAACTTCATCTGTCGTCTTCCTAATTGATTTGTTTTTTGCTTCTGACGACGACGATTGCTTATAAATGATAAAGAATGGCGGAAAAGACGATTGCAAATGATCTCGTCAACATCGCGGAAAGTCCAGCCAGTGTTGATTGTGTGTCTCTTTTAGTAGCTCAATTTTGCAAATTCTATGTTTAATGTGATTGGCGAGAGGCTGAAATTCCTTGAGCTTCTGCCAAACAACCACTGAGTGTAAAATGGGATCTCAAGACACGGCTATAATTCCTTCACAAATACAGACGATCACATTGAAGATCATGACCAAAAGGTGTGCGCGTCTTTATTGTTGTGTATATTTAGAGAGATGGGCAGATATTTCCCCATGTTTGCCATTCACAAAATAAAATCCCCCCAGAGAAACTGTGGCTCTCAACCTGTTCTGACTCTGTGTTTGTCTCTCGCGCGGCGTCTTTTGGACTCGCCAGAGATGGCAACAAAGGAAAAGCTTCAAATGCTGCTTGTATGATTCAATTGAGAGTTAAAATTGCAGCAAATTTCGCAATCACGGAGAGTGAATTAATGAGAAATTCCCTCCAACATATTGAGCAATAAGTGAATTTGGCTCTAAAGTGAGTGGGCAGAAATTGAGAAATAATAAATGACTGTAAAAGGTGAGAAAAGAATTCTCTAGAAATAAAAAATCATTGAAGACGCTTGACTTTGGCACACAAATCATGCGGCAAAGGGAAAGAGAGAGAGAGAGAAAGAGAGTAATTTTGTTAATTGCAATGAGAGTGGAAATTATTTCCTGACATTGAGCGAGTAATTATTTAAAATTCCCTTTGTTTCAGGCCTTCTCAGCACTTTCTAATGCTGGTTATAGGCAATTTTAAAGCCTCACCACACGCTAATCCATGGTTTTAACAAGCGTTTTATGTATTCTTGCAGTGAACGATGGTCGTCAGGCAACCATTCCTCAGTATCGCAGCCTTTCGGGGGCTTTTTCGACAATCTTCCGCCAGGAGGGCTTCAGAGGCTTGTACAAGGGCGTGACGCCCAATATTTGGGGCTCTGGCAGCGCCTGGGGCTTCTATTTTCTTTTGTAAGTCCCCAAATCGACGGGTGAAAACTGTGAAAAGTCAAAATGGCAATTTTTCAGGAGACAAACTTGAACATTTAGCGTTATTTTAACTCAAACAGCCGCTAATGGTTTGAAAAAATATTAATTATTGCCCTAAAATAATTTATATGCGAATATTTCAGTTGGTTTTATTGGAATTTTGACTGAAATATGGCAAATTTAATAGATAAACAGCAAATATTACTGTTGAAAAGTCGATTTTAAATAGATTTTGAGTACATTTTATCCAAATAATTTGTAAGAAATCAATTTTTAACACTTTTCATTGGTCTTTTTCAAAGTTTTGTATTGAAGAAAATTAAAAATATGCCAAATTGTCCTCATTTTAAGTCTTAGAAAGAAGAATTTGAGAAAAATCCTGGCAATATGAAATTAGGATGTTTATCAAAGAAGCTATTTTGCAAACTTCTTCAGTTTAAGAAAGATTTCTTGGGAAAAAGTCAACGGCGTAAATTTATGAAAAGTTGATTTTTCATGATTTTCTTCACTCGTCGAAATTGTTTGGTGTTTTTGCTGAAAATGTACTAAAAAGTGTCACTTTTCTTTTTCTTTTTCTCCAGCTACAACACAATAAAGACATGGATTCAGGGTGGAAATACGCACATCGCTTTGGGGCCAACAATGCACATGATTGCAGCGGCAGAAGCTGGCATTTTGACGCTCGCAATGACCAATCCGATCTGGGTGGTGAAGACACGCCTCTGTCTCCAATATTCCAATGAGTTCAGTGGGTCGAGTGACAGTACAAATTACCGGGGAATGATTGACGCTCTGAAGAAGATCTACCGAGCTGAGGGAATCCGCGGATTCTACAGAGTATTTAATCCCATTTCTCTCTCTTGCGTATCTCTAATGCTCTTCTTTTGCCTTGCTGTCTGTCTTTCTGCAGGGTTTCGTGCCCGGAATATTCGGAGTGTCACACGGAGCTCTTCAGTTTATGACTTATGAGGAGATGAAGAATCGCTACAATCAATATCGACGATTGCCCATTGATCAGAAGCTGGTGAGTGTTGTGTTGAGTAACTCTTGCAAACACACACTTTCAGCCAGAGATAATGACTGAATTGTGAGGCTTGTGTTTGATGTGCACTCGGGAAAATAGATAGAGAAAGGCTTTCAGTGATCCATTAAGTGGGATTTGCTGAAAGTCCATTTATTGAACTGATGCACTTGCACAGCTAATCTGTTGACTTTTCTCTGTGACATAATTTTGCTTACGCCCGAAGAACGGCTAGAGAATGTGTAAATGCAACTTGAAATGCAATTGGAATCATTTTTTTTACTGATTTTCTTGACATTGTAATAAGAAATTGGCTAAAAATCACTCTTTTTTCAAAGAAAAATTGTGTAATTTTCACTACATAATCGTTTTTCAACGATCAACTTGAACTCTTATTCTACACTTCAAACGGAAAAAATTGTGAACAGGATTTGAGCTGCGGTTTTTACTAGTTTTTAATATTTTCTCCTCAAATTGGCGCTAGATGGCAGCAGTTTAAAAGCATGTAGAAGTTCCAATTGTAATTTCCAAACCACAATTTAAAAACAAATGGGCTAAATTGGGGGGTTTAAACGCCTCCACATAATCTATTAAATATCTAATGAAGATATTTGCAATATATTAAACATATAAAATTATTTTTTTGATTATATTTGAATATTGGATATCTTAAAGAGTAATGAATGCCAGGAAAACAGTAATTTGACACCTAAAAGTAAGATTAAGAACGCAGATTGGAACTTCTAAATGTCTTTAAAGTTGAAACTGCTACTAATATGTCAAGAAAATAATCAAATATTTAAATGTATTTAAATTTTTATTAATTATTCAGAATATTCATTTAATAATTTATCTAAATTATAATGTTTTTGGGTCTTCTAGCAATTTTACTTGGAAAATTATGATTTTTCGATTATTTTTACTTCAATTTAAATATTTTCCGTACAAAGTAAAAGTAATATTATTTAAATATTTCATTGAGACCGGTAAGATTCCTCGAAAAACCAACTAAAGACTTTCCCCTTGGAAAGAAATGTACCAAAAGTGTTAAACTGTAGTTAAAAACCTGCAAAAGCACGTTGACAAGTCCAAATCAAAGCGTCCTATAATGTAAATGTCTTCTAGACATTCCAAACTCATGATTTAATAAGATTCTCTCAGTCAGTATTATGCATTTTGCAATATCTCAGCTCCAAATTGAGATAGCGCCATAATCTCAACACCATTTGAGAGGTCATAAAATTCTTATCATTTTCCATTTGAGGGTAAATGTCTCTAAAATTGAAAGAAATATCGAAGCTAATTTCGGCTACTGTATCTTCTGTTATTGTGTCAGTCTTCAAACTAATGTTAATTCTGGTCCTTTTGCAGACGACCGCAGAGTACTTGACGTTCGCTGCGATATCGAAGCTGATCGCCGCCGCGGCGACGTATCCCTATCAGGTGATCAGGGCGCGTCTGCAGGATCATCATCTTCACTATGAGGGTACTTGGGACTGTGTTAAGCAAACTTGGAGGTATGAAAGAATGCCAGGTTTTTATAAAGGTTTAGTCCCCTACCTTGCCCATGTCACACCAAATATCTGTCTAGTTATGTTGATTTATGAGAAAGTAGCAAATGCTTAGGCGAAAATTATCAAAATTGATCCACTAAAAAAAAAGAGATTTAAAATAATAATAATGATGATAAATGAGGAGGAAAAAACATATTCAGAAACTACTAATTGTCTACTGTTTATATTTAAATGTGTAAATATATAGAAAGAAAAAAATTATTTTCACAATTTAATACTTGCAAAAAAAAAATCATTGCTTAAAAAGGAGATGAAAGAAAAACAGCACAAGAAAAATAGTATTGAAAGGTGGTGAAGATTTTAAGATAATTAACATAATTTATAATAATAACAACAAGAATGTAAAAGAAAGACAGACATTTTGCCTCAAACCAAAATAAATTAGCTAATTTAGAGTGAATAAATAAATAAATATATATATTTTGTAAATTTATTTCAACAATAATTAGCTGTATGAGAAGTGAGAAGTTTTGTGTGGGGGTAAAAAAGGCGAGCAAGAAGAGGTCTTTGAGAAAGATTTCCGATGATAGAATAAAGAAAAGCAGTAGAAGAATATTTGCTGGTCAAATTTGTAGGATGAAAAGAAGAAAGAGATGGAATAAAATGACAAAGAGAGCATTCGCATTGAAAGAAGATAATAATTCTGTTAGTGGAGAGAAAAGTGGATAAAACACATGTGATAAAAGAAATTCTGTTTATTTTTTATTGTACATTTAATAAGTATTTTTAAATGTGAACAGAAGATGATGAAACCATGTTACTTTAGCGAAAGAAGAAGAAAATGTGAGATTGTTTTTAAGCTTATAAAGTACTTTGGCAAAAAGATTCTTTCTCTTTGTTTGTTTTTTTGGACACATTAATTTTAAGAACTATTCCGGCTTTTTATGACATCCGGCATCATGTTTTATTTTTGTCATTAAATGATTGATTTGCAAAAGTTTCATGCGCGCGCGCGCGGATAAATTTGCATCTTGAGCGCAAAAAATTTGAGCGACAGTGCAAGAATCTTGTTGCTAAGGTAAGAAAGAACATTGTTCACATGCGAAAATGTGTAATTGAAGAGAGAGAAGCTTAAGTGTGCTATAAAAACTCATTTTTTCTTTGCATAGTTCTGTGCTCATGTTTGTAAAATGTCTCCAAACTAATTAATATACATATATTGTTCAATATCTCATTGTAATATCCATTTGGTAAGAAATCCATTGCTTTAAAAGAAATTGTGCGTCATGTGAAGATGTTTCTTTAGCTATTAATTTCTAATCATAGCATTATTGTGTGTAGAATAAGAGGAAAAATTTGCATAAAAGAAAAGAAGAAAATTTGGGAGAAGTGTGAAAGTGATGCAGCAGCTCTTGTGTGAGTGGCAAAATTAAAAATCACCAAGACATTTGACTTTTCTTGTCGGTGTTGCGCGGCCAGAGACAAGATTGCAACGCGTGCCAAGAGAGCCAAAAGAAAAAGCGACCGCATCCGGCTTTCATGTTTTTTTTTGCTTGCTTGCTAAGAGAGAGAAAGAGAGATTTAATGGCAAAATATCATCCATGATCGCGCGATGCAGTGAGAAAGGATGTGATGATGAGAGAGATTGAAAAAGTGCCCACAGATAACGCATAAAGCAAAATAGTTATTCACTGTCTACCTTTTAGTATATGTCGGTCTTCTTTCAACTTCTTGCAGGTTTGAGAAGTGGCGCGGCTTTTACAAGGGCCTCGGACCAAATCTCACCAGAGTCGTTCCAGCGACCATGATTACATTTGCCACCTACGAAAATCTCTATCACTACATGCGAGACAATAAGACATAATCACTTGTGATCAACCAGTGCCAGCCAGCCAGAGAGCTTTGACAAGAACACTAATCATCACACACCAAAGCCATAGTCGAGAACTGAGTTACCAAAGCCCAGGAATTTAAAGAGGTTTCTCACAATGCAGAAATCCGCATTTTGTTAGACGTTGTAGTTGAATAAATATAGGATGTTTTCTTGAAAATTTCCGTTCTTTTCATGTGAAAAACTTCATAGTCGGTCAGTCAGTCTTTGGGCTTTTTGATTCTTATCGCGTCTCATATGACGATAAGTACATAAAGCCTTTCGATCTTTTTCAGCTTCTTCAGATCCTGTTTAAAATCCTCATCGTCGATCGTATTCTACTCTTTCAATGGACGTCTTCGCTTCAGTCAGAGTCTTGTCTTGTTTAGATACTTGAATTTCCTCTTCATCGATCGCCTCTTTCTCCTCACTAATTGTTTCTACCTTCTTTGAGGTATTTGTTGGCTAAGTTAGCTAGCTAGAGCTCTGCTGAAACTCGTAAGAAAGATAGTATTAACTCTGCGATCAATCCTTGACTGGCACTGATTGCACGGGCAATTATATTCAAGTGCATATTGCCATGGCGGCCATGGCAATATGTCCGTCACAGCGTCATTGTCCGTGATATCCTCGGCGTTTCGACAGAACAATCAAAATGAAAACCAAAACGATCAAATCGGACTTCATAATCATTCAGAACGAATGTTTGAGTCATTTTTTGCCGATATTCTTGTTTTTCCAAGCGTTTTTCACTGATTTATCACAAAAAGCGAAGTAATTTAACCAATTTAACTGAGCGTCTACCATGAACTTGGCTGCATTTCTTTCGTTGAGCTTTCTGATGCCATGCCAGAGCAGATTTCTCGCCCTCATTTTACGGTATATGCAGTTTCAGCTCACAAAATACAATATAACTAAGAGAATATCGTCTATCTCGTCTGCTAGTATGCTTTTATGTCTTTAAACATAATTTGTTACATAAATTACCTACATTTATGCAACTTTTACCGGCGTATAAATTGAAACATTTCTCACAGTGTAGTTGTCAGCGCCATCAATAAAGCTTTCGGTCTGCTAACTTTGCCTTGTGCTCCAAAAACTGCCCTTTTTCGTGAATATTCCCACCAATTCCACTCACTATGTGGTAAAAGAAGGGCAAGAGACGAGGCAACAGACTTAAAAATGATTAGAATAGCTGTTAGAAATGTATGTCGTGCATTTTCCTTTACGTAACGCCGATATAACCTCAAAAGTTGTTTTGTTTTGCAGATCCCCCAGATTTGCTGGAGAAATGCTCCAGTTTTGGGCACGGTTTCGGGGAGATTTGTTGGCCAGACGCCGCAGCGCAGTCAAGAGACAGGGACACACATGATAGGAGCGCATGAGAATGCAAGGAAGAGTGGAATATTTGGGAAATTGCGGAAGAAATTTGGTTGGTCCAAAACTTCAGACAGTGTAAGTTTTTTCCGGAAGGGGGAAAATCGCTCTAAGGGTTGGAATTTAATAGTATTTTCATGGTCTTGCAGAAATTGCGGATCTGCAGTTATCTTCTCTACGAATCAATTGTGGATAAACTGAACTATTTGGAGTTCTTCCGGAGATTCGATCTGCCGGACACGTTCAACTCGTGGTTCCTGGTCACGGAGTTGCATGTGTGGATGGTGCTGGTGCGTGCCATGGGCGAGGGTGCGGAGAAGGGTGAGAATGGGCGCTTCTTGCGGAACAGCATCGTGGAGGCGATGTGGAGTGACGTGAACATGCGTGCCAGGAAGCTCGATCCGCGCAATCCCGCCGGCGCCAAGAAGCAGATCGGCGCCCTGGCGGAGCAGTTCCAGGCGGCGCTCATCAACTACGACGAGGGACTCATGGGGGACGACAAGGTGCTGGCGGGGGCGCTGTGGAGGCGCTTCTTCGAGAAGGAGTGTCCCAGCTTCGAGATGCTGGAGGCGCTCGTGAAGTATGTCCGGGAGAACGTGAGAGAGCTGGACAGCCTCTCGCACGACGACTTCGTGCAGAAGCAGCGGATTCAGTGGCAGAATGTGGCCAAGGAGTGACGATAGAAATGACTAGAAATTAAAAGTTGTACATATTAAGAGAGAGTCTTCTCTGCATTCTTCTCGGGCGCAGGCGCTTTTCCCGGTCAGGGAAATTGTACTAGATGGGATTTTTCCATCTCCGCCGACCGGAGGCCGAGTGGCAGCCGAAGTGGGTGGGAGAAAAGTGTGTCTATGCGTCAAAAAGTTGGCCCAAAAGGGGAGAAGAAAGAAAGGATTTGTCGTGGGAAAGGAAATCGCAGGGCAGCAGCAAGAGGGCGAGTGTGTGCATTTCTCCGGGACAATCTGGCGGCCAGTCCGGGAGAGATGCTGATGTGAGTTTGTGTGGACTTTGTGGGCGATGTTCATGATGAAAATTCGGGGAAGATGGTCCCAATTTTCATCACTCTTCTGCTGTTTGGTGTCTTTGACGAAGGTGAGTTCTCTTCCGCTGCGTGGCAATCCGCGCCTGGCCTCACGCGCGCTGTCTCTCTCCTGCAGCATATCCCCAGTCGCTGACGACGCACTCCCTGAGGAAGACCCCGGCTGCCGCGGCGAAAGGGAATGACCTGTGGTGCTACTCGTGCGAGACGATGGAGGACGGCGAGATGTGCACGGACGTGCAGTCGGGCAACCATTCCAACATGATCCGCAAGTGCAAGGCGGAGGAGTTCTCGTGCATGGTGAAGCGCTTCTCCTACACCATCACCACGGAGAACTCCACCACGCCGCCCAGGATGTGGTCGCTGCAGCGCCAGTGCTCCAGCAACTGCGAGCGCGGCTGCATCGTGATCGGCGAGCGGACCAAGCTGTACGCCTGCACGTCCTGCTGCGAGACGTCGCTGTGCAACACGGACGACGGCAGCGCCCCGCCGGGCTTCCACGTCACCGCCCAGGCCCTCCTCATCGCCGCGGCCCTGGCGCTCCTGGCCACCGCCAACTCCCGGACACGCTGACGAGCAATTCTGCGCGCACCCGAGCTCTTAGACATTCGCAATTGGATATCAATCTCCGCAGTGGACAAAAAGGAAAAGAAACCAAACCAATTAGACCGATAGGATATAATAATAAATTTTAAATATGACACCCTCACTGCTCATCTCTCTCCAGACTCGCCACTTCCCGCCGGATGTGCTGGATGATCTCCGCCAGCGCCTGCGGGCTCACGCCGCTCTGGCACAGGCGGATGCAGATGTCCAGGCACTCGGCCGACAGCCCTGTGTCCAGGAGCTGCGACATGCTGTGGATGGCGGCCCTGGTGACGTCCGCCTGAGAACGGCTCCTGTCGCTCACGAATCTCGTATTTCCGTCCTTGGGAGACATCATTCCACAGTGTCCGCACCTGCAGGAACCCCAGCAGAGTGTGGTCAAGGGAAATCCCAGTGGAAATGGCAGGAATCTGTCTGGAAATGCCTACCTTTCAAACTGTATTCCTTCCTGGACCGAGTCCCGGACGCTCGATAATCGCCGTTTGCAGCGCACTTCACACTGCTAGAATGTCCGAATTGAGCTTTCGCTGTTTGAATTGTGAAAGCTTCCGATGGTTTTGCAACGAATTTTTGCACTTTTTAACGTATTTAGTAACATATTGAGAATTATGGCTTCCTCAAGGTGTAGAGATTTCCGTTTGCTGATTAATTCCTTCGCGGGCTTGTTACTTACATATGTATGCCAATGCGATTTATAAGAGCGAAGACAGACTTAAGGATGATTTCGAGGTTTTGTGTTATTTTTACACCCACTTTTAGGCATTTTAGAGGTGAACCACGAGATCATCCTTAAGTCTGTCTTGGCTTTGAGTTTTCCAACAAAATCTACATAGCGAAAATCTAATGAAATCAGCAGTAAAACAACTTCAAGTGTTCCCGGGAACGCCTGAAATGATGAGAAATGAGTAAATTTGCACGGATTTTTATTCTCATTTTCTCCTTGGGGGCTCGCTGGGGATCTGTCCAGAGTTCAGGGGGCTTTGTATGGTCGGCGCGTGCGGAGGGGCGAAAGGAAAGGCGCAGTGCTACACAGAAATGGTATATTCGGCAATCTACACAGTGTCACGGGGCAAGAGATCATCATGCGATCGGGATGGGGGCGCTGCCGCGGCTCAGTGGTGGGACGTAATATCGCCGTAGTGGTGCTTGGGCCACATGCACTCGCATCCGGCGGGCACCTGGCGCGTCAGCGACTCCCAGCAGTCCGTGCCGAAGAGGCGGCGCGTGAGGAAGATGGTCCGGTTGAGCTGGATGCAGAAGAGGCCCGCCTCGCCGCAGATCTGCAAGAGGGAGAGAGAGAGAATGGGGTTGAGAAGCCGCGCGGCAGCTGGGGTGCGACAAACTGTGCGGGCGGAGTGCGGTGGGTGGCATGCGAGGAGAGTTTGGCTGGCTTACCTCATCCATATTCCCATCGATTAAGCGACTTAAAGCGGGCTAGTGGACACACATACAGAATACATTAGGTAAACATTGGCTATGCAGTCGGTCGGTGCGCTCAATTACCTTGTTCCGGTGTACGCGGTAGTCCCTGAAGGAGGTGAACGGATGCTCGCATGTCACTTCCTCGTAGTGGTCCGGCTTGTACTCGTAGTTTCCGGCCTCGTCCTTCAGGTAGACGAGGGACCTCGTCGAGGGGCACAGCGACTGGAAGCTCGTCTGCGGATGGAGCGGATGGAGTGGAACAATTGATTAGGAAATCGGTGTTCACCAGAGTTGCAAAGGAGAAAACCGCTTGGCTGTGTTTTCACTGTTAGAAACTCGGACACAAGAAGACTGCATGTTTGTGGTGTACAAGGGGGAGATAATGTGCTCTCAATGTGTACACCACTTCCTAACACTTCCAGCCATTCAAGTTATAATAAGTGTCTTAAGGTTCCATGTGATATTTCTGTAAAAATCAAGCTTAAACCGCTTTTCCAGCGTCTTAAAATATTAGATCTTAAAAGACTCTAATTGGAAGCTTTCTATGTGATAAAATCACTCAAAATTGCTGATTCAGAGTCAAAATCGTACAGAAAGTGACCTAAATAAACATTTTTCAAGTCTACAATATTCTTTTTGAGGTTATGTGTGACTTTAACACACTTTTAAGTGTTTTTGGGCATCAGAAGTTCAGAATAGCAATGTTTATTGCTTGAAAACCCAATCTTGGCGACTTTAGCATAAGAATTAATGTGTTAGAATGCGAAATATTCATTAAATTCGTCTGTGATTTGTTACATAACCTAGAAAAGGATTGTTTATTCGTACAATTCAAAGCATTCAAAGGGAATCCAAAGAATTGGGATGATTAGTCAGTGAAAGAAACACGCAGGAAAGGAAGATAATTGTGAGTTTTTGAACACTTCCACTTCTTAAGTACTTCTGATGAATTGTACACCACTTCTGGCTATATTATCTCCCCCTTGGTGGTGTATTTGAATTGTGCACAAACAGCAGAATACCGAATTGTGCACCACAAAACATGACATTTCATTTCTCCTTTTTGCACACTTGAATTTTCTCCCAATTGTCCTTTGCTCTAAAAGAAGCCATTCATGGAAAATGAGGAAGTATCTAATCACAATCTGGCATCTATTGCGAAGTCTCTTGATTGGCCATCAACTCTTGGCCAGAAGCACTCACTCGTGTGATTTTCCCCTTGGTCCGGATCGATCTGCTGGGCAGCGTCTCGGCGTTGCGCCTCACATTCTGAATTCCGTACGGCTGGCTGGACTGCAGCTCAGGATCCATGTCCAAGTCCTCATCCTCGTCATACTCGTCGTCCTGGTGGAGGTAGGAGCTGGCGACGGGCTGCTCGTCGCCATAAACGGCGTCGTTGTCACTGGAAGAAAGAAGGCATCGAGAGAGAGAGAGAGGTGTGAGCTTAATGCCCTGGAGCGCATTTGTGAGAACGTGAAAAATCTCCTCCCGCCCCAGCGGACTCTAAAGCCAATTTCCACCTGGACGGGCGCTCCCTCGTGATTTCGCTGCTCAGCACCCGGAGATTTATGCTTAATTTCAGCAGGAAAACTCTGAGATTTTCTTCTGGGAGCTCAACTGAAATTCACGTCGCGCATTTCTTCTTGAAAGAATCTGTGTGTGTGTGTGTGTGTGTGTGTGTGTGTGGCGTAATCTGATTAGACTTCCGGGAATGATAAGGGGATGATGGAATAATTCTCACTTCTTCAATATGCAATGCACATCATCGTCATCTTTGCCACAACCGAATCGATTCGGAACGCGCGCTCTTGAGAAAATCACTGGGCATTGATTGAAATGGCGCGATTAGATATTGCTGCACACATACAAATTGTTTCTGATGCTTTTCCCATTCGTGACGTCGGCGACTGATAATATTTTCACGCTGAAATCCTCATTCGCACTATTTCCGACCTGTTAATTTGATATATGAAATGTAATTTCACGTTAGGGGGAAATATTCCACTGCTCCGGGTGTAATTCTGTGGAAATGCAAATATTGTGGCAAAATTGTCCCATAAACTGTCTAAAAATCAATTATGTATGGCAATGTAATGGGCAAAATTTGTGCATTTTTAATTTGTCATCCGCAGATAAAAGCAATCAGAAAGTCATTTGACATAATGACAGAGACAATTAGATAGAATCATTGATACAGAATCATGTAAAACATCCAAATAGAGAGTTTGGGAAAAATGGAATTGATTTTCATTTGAATAAATAGCAAATTTCAATTATCATTTTAGTTAACTATCAAAATGTGTTTGACAAATTTAATTAAACTTTTTAATCGCAATACAATTTTATTTGATTGTAAATATTGGAATTATCATTTTTTCCTTTGCGTGAATCATCTGAAATGATAGGCGAGATTGAATTGGGAATTATCATATTTGCAGATTTATAATGTAATTATTGACACTGTCTGAGCCCGCATAAGTTATTCACATCGCCAAATCGATACAATTTGTATCACATGTGTTTGATTCACACTTCAGACGCCCAGCATTTCAAATATTTCAAGCACTTTAATTGCGCACTGCAAATCAAGGGGAAGATAATATGGCTAAAATTTGTACAGCACTTTCTGACACTGTCACAATTTCTAGGAAGAATCCTAAACACTCCCCAGGATTTCAGACTTTGTGGATTGTTCATAAAAAGGCTAAAATTAACTATTAACTGGAATTTGACTTAAATGTGACCGAAAACTGACCGAAAACTAACTGAAATCTAACTAACAATTTTAAAATTCATGTTTTCTTACAATAAATTATGATTTTCATACGCTTAAATTGTACTTTTGTGCATTTTTCTTGATCATAATCCTTTACTTATTATCTTTTTTTTTTTTTATAACGCAAAATTGCAACAGTTTAAAAAAATTGAGGTTATGTTTCACTTTATCATTGTTTCATGAAATCACGATTTTTATAGGATAAAAATATGCAATTCTATCAAAAAGCTGAAAATACTTTCAATTTAGACACAAGAATTTCTACTTTAAGAGGTTATTTTGTCTTAAATTAATCACATAACCTAGAAAAATATATCAAAATTAGGACTGAGATAAAGATTCAGCAATACTTTCACTTCCTCAAATTGCCACTGATCTGTACACCACTTCTGACCACATTATCTCCCCCTTGCTGCAAACCGTATTTAGTTTATTGTGAAACTAGTATTAGAAAATAATATTTTGAGTGAGAAATTAAATTAAAACACGCAACAAATTTGGCAAAAACTACATTTCAAAACTTGTTTGTTCATCATTTTTGATTAAAAAGCATTATTATTTAATAAAATAGAGTGTCTTTCATTAAAGAAGACAGCTCTTGAATGCCTTTTGTGTGAAGTCAATTGTTTTCTTGAGTCTTTTTCTCCGTAAAATCAGAGCTTTTCCTATCTGTGCAGGTGAATTGTGAATCAGACGACAAGAGTCAGTTCAAGGATTGTAAAGTCCTTCTTCCTGGAATGATTGCCACACACTCTCTTCCAGGAACTGTACATGTGAGAGATCATAATGGGAAAAGTTCAGTTTGGTCTGGGGAAGCTCGATGTTTTCCAAAAATATCTGTTTGTGAGGTGAATTTTCAGAGAAAGACCAACAAATTACGCAAATAAACTCTTCGGCAATTACCGTGGAGGCCACAGAACTCCTCCTTGCCATAAATTTGATGGCGAAGGAAGTTCGCAGGCTGCCAAGAGTGGCTTTTTGTGTCAGCAGGACAAAGAGCGGGAGAGTGGGTGGGTGGCGAGGGGGAGTTTTCGCCGCCGAGGCGCGCTCAGGATCCGCCTGAGATGTGTGACAGAATTGATTGGCCCCTCAGGCGCGAGTGTGCCACACGTGGATTGATCCTGAAGGAAGAGGACACGAATTATGTGCGGAGCATGACGCCATAATTTTGATGGAGATGATAAAAAGTGTTTATTGATGGAGTAGAATAATTTCCTCCCGAAAAAACATATTCGTCGTTCCTTTTCTCAGTGATTGAGTATCGATGTGATAATACATAAAAAAGAAGTATGACATTCTCTTCGATACGCGCGCGTTGCAAATCGCCACCCAAAGTGCACAGGGTGGCGGACAAATGGTGGTTGGGTGGCAAATAAAAAAAAGGTGGAAAATATTGTGCCATTTTTCACCCCTCATCGTGTGGCACACATTTCCCACCAACGCGCGCTCGGGGAGAATTCTTCAATGGAAGTCGCTGGGATATTTGTCAAATTCTCTCGTCTTTTTGCCTGCTTCTCACCTTCTGCCTCTCTCTCTCCCTCTAATTGAATTACTTTCTCCCAGCAAATTAAATTGAATTACAAATGACTGGGAGATAATAAACATTTCCCAAGGTATTATACATGATTTCATTCCTCCAGCGCCAGAGCTTAATTTCCCTCTCGGTGAGGATCAATTGTCTCTCTGTCGCTCAATGGCATCTGCAATTAGACTTTGGTGATGTCCCTAATTGCACTTTGCATTGGAAAACTTCATGCCGAAGGTGAGGTTGAGACTAATGATTTTTTTCCCCTCAGTAATTCACCTCAATTCCTCGGCAACTTTAGCAATTCTGGGGCGTAAGGAAGACGAGAAAAAAAGAGCGTTAAATTCTCATACAACTTTTCCGGGGGTTGTGGTTTTTCCGAATGGGATTTCTTTGCCATCTCGCTGTGGTTGAAATAAGGAAGAAGAAGAAGAAAAAAAAACCCCAACAGAATTTTGTATAAATTCCAGTTTTTTTTCCCAGCAGTGAAAGAAAGTTCTTCGCGTTCTTCAACCCACACTTAAATTGCCATGAAACAGTTTTGCATAGGCGAAGAGACGCGCAATGGTTATAAATTGAAGTTGTGTGTATTTAAGGAATTGAATTCTGTGGAAATTTCCTTTCGGCTTCACACCGTAGATTTCCTCAGTGACCAATTTTGCGGGGCCACGTGGATGTGATCCCAAAAATTTGGCTCGGAAGAAAAGCTCATTAAAGTTGCGGACCAGAGAAGTGGGAATTGGTCGTAGATACAATCACATTGCACTTCATCTCAGGCAATTTATCTCACCCTCATATCTCTTTCACGGACAATAAAACCTCCTCGGATTCCGTCTTCACAGTAAGAATAAAACAGTGAGACAAGAATTGGATTCTATCTCAATATTAGGCAACACAATGGACTGGGGGTGGCGAATGTAAAATGCGTGGCATAAGAAGGATGAAAAAAAAAGTGAGAAATCCTGTGGGAAAAATAAATTTTTACGACACGACTATTCCTTTCAATTCCTCCAGCCACTCGAACTTGCGCCTTTATTCACTTAACAGTCCATGTTTTCACTTCATTGGAAACTCTTGAGAAATTTCAACTCCCACGTGCTCAAAATGGGAGTAAACTACCCCAAGATAAACTACAAATTTATCTCGGAGAGCCATCCAATTTTGGAGGTATTCACACATGAAAGAAGTGGACTGAATAGACAGGAAGTTCACTTGCAATTTATACGCTCGCCATACATTATTCTGAGGTGCAGGAGTGAATTTTCCAAGCAATTTTCAATCCAGTGTTTAAAGCAAAATTTCTCTTATCGCTGATTTGCAAGGGAAAAGTCACTCGCGATTTCAGACTATAAAATTACTGATTATTTAGTGTTTTCTTATTATACCAAAAAAAATTTAAATATTTGATTTTTTTCTCCACATTTGCCTTAAAATTAACAAAAAATAGTGAAATTTGAGTAAAAATATATGAAAAAATATTTAAATGTTTGATTTTTTTCTAAATATTCGATCAAAATTAAAATATTTGATTTTTTCTCTACATATTTCAGCGATAGGGCAACAATTTAAGCTCTAAAGGCATGTTTAAGTTGCGATTGTATTTCCTCCTAATTTTAGGTGTTCGAATCCAACTTCTGACAAATTTTGTGATTTTTATTAAATCTATTTAAATATCTTATCAAGGATATTCAATTTTTTTGTATTCTGCAATTTTAATTGATTTTTGATTGTTTTTAATTAAATTTTTATACTTGAAATTAAAGTTGATACTTTAAAGATTGGAAGATATTTTTGGAAAATGCGTTGAGTTTTTAATGAGAAAAAGACAATCTCAATTCAAAACGCAAAGCAGAGTTTGCAAAATCATCATACAGCTAATTTTAATTAAAACTATAACTGAGATGAGATAAAACACCCAAAAGGATTGCAATGTGAGAACATAGAATTCAGAAATAGAGTCGAAAGTGACCTAAATATCAATTAAATTTCAAAATGTCCGCAATAGTTTGCAGCAAAAGCAATTCAATTTAGAAAAAAAATCCGCCAAAGTTTCTCTATAAATCTCACTTTTTATGTGTGTGTGTTTGTGTGTGGAAAGCAACGCTAATTCGCATTGATTTGAGTTGTGAATTTGGGAAACAAACTGTGACATTCAGATTTCCCAGTGCATTTCGGCAATTACATATAAATAACATAAAGTTTTCTCCATCCCAAAACGGTGGGAATTTTCCAATTCCGTCAAATATCTCGGCTTTTTCCGGGCGTGAGTGGAAATTTATGTGTGTTGAAAAGTTTGAGTAAAATTGTAGCGGTGAGACAATGAAATACGGAAAATAAAAATCCACACCATAAGTGTGTCGGCTCACCGAATTCATCATCAATATTGGGGGAAATGCGCGTTAGGGGAGAGCGGGGCAAGGAATAGCTGCTGAAGTTTGTTTTATGTCGAAGGGGGAAATAATAAAAATTTACAGTTTCTCGCTCCCTTCCTGCCAAAAAGCAATAGGTGGCAAATTTATGGGACCTCCTTTCGGCTGATTCCTTCTTCCCCAAGCCTTCGTGCCACGGAAAAGGGGGAAAAGGGTGGGAAAAAGGGGGCAATGATGACGCTGTGGAGTCGGTGAAATCCAAAAAAAGGAAAAGCTTGTTAATTTATCTCTGTAAATAAAACACCGGCATAAAATCCCACGAAATCTCGGGCGATATAACTCACCTTAAAGTGGGATTTCTTATGCCACTCTTTTTCCCATCAACTCACTGAGCTTTCTGCCATTCTGGCAAGGAAAGCTCGCGAGTTGATATTGAATTGAAGGCTGAATTCATGTCAAATCCAGCAGGATTTTCCCACCCTGTCCATATTTCAATAGCACACACACTCACAATTAGTTTTCCCCTTCCAATTTCCAACGTCTTTTGTTTAATCAGTTAGTCTTCTGCAACTTTCTTTCTGTCACGAGCGAATTTCTTAGAGTTTCTCGAGTGTTTTTGTGTCAGTTTGTGTGTGGGGGAAAAAGTATATATATATTTTTAAAATTGTCTCAACAGAAAACACTTCTTCTGGATAAATACGTGTTCAATGTGAATTTTCCTGAGAAACTCTCGGACTCTCTCAGACTCCACATGGACATCGTCAGTGAAGATGCTTTAGAAATTATTCATACAATAAAATTAATCTTCCCAGATTTGTCATCTGTCGCTCGTAAAAATGTTCCTTCCTTTTTTTGAAATGCGCTCTTCAAGACAGAAAAGACATCTTTTTTAGAGCGCATAAATCACCCAAATCTCTCATCCAGACAGATAACACAATAATCCATTCGGAGCCTGTGCAAATCGTGTATTTACTCACGGCATAATTTGACTGCTCTGGCCACTTCCTGGCAGCAGCTGAAGGAGTTGCGCCGGAAATCGCGCCAGCGGCAGAAGTCGCTGATGCTGAAAGCTGCCAAAGTGCTTCTCATCCTCCTTCCGATCGCCTCTGCTGTCGTCATTTGCATTGCACGATGATAAGAGAATAATGCACGATAATACCAGCGCCTACACCCCGTCGAAAGAGAGTCCAAATGAACAAATTATTGCTCAATGGGAATATGATTAGCGACTTGTGTACACGCAACTGTGACGACGTGACGACAGAAGTCACAAAAAAGCACGGCCAAAACAGAGCGACACAGAATTTCACAGGCAAACTTCCTGGGCATATTTGCTCATTCTGCAATTTGTGAGCTTTATTAATTTTCCAACTCCCAAATGCGGCACCGGGAGCTGGAGGAAATTTGATCTGCAGACAGAAGGAATTATGCCAGGCTTCGAGAATTGCACAGAAAGTTTTGCCAGTGAAATCTCGAAGGACTTTCAGTGCGGTTTGTGTTGCTCTTCTAGCACAAGAGGGTCATGAATTTTGCTATTGCAGCTCAACAAGATTCTTGCCGCATTTTACGGTCAAAATGCGTTTAACAAGAACTTCAACTCCTCCGGGGAGAAAACACTCAGAGGGGATAATCAGAACAAAGAGTGTTGAACAAGTGGAATCACAAGAATAGCTTGAAATTTTTACTTTCCATCGATATTCCAGTTAAAATTGAGGAGATCTTTTCAACAAAGAAACATTAATCGATGGGAGACATTTGGAGCAATTCTCAGTCACACGAAAAATGTTGAAAATGTGTTATGTTGGTTTAACACACGCCTTTGCTTCTGTGAGTCACAAAATGGCAATTGTGTTAAAAACTTCACCACTTGTGTTATTTGCTATTCTAATTCACATGTGTTAAACCATATTCTACCGTCTGAAAGTGTAATTTTAACACGACCTCCAGAGGTTTTTTTTAAAGAGCAAATGAGTGACAGATTTTAATCTGCAAATATCTTACAAAGATGGATCAATCGGAAATTGTGGCTCTAATTTTCAAGTATTAACATGAAATATGTTTACAGTAAATTCTTTTTATCACGGATTTACTAGTTATGAACTTGAATATTAATAATTTTGTCAAATTTCACCATTTTTCCTCTCTTACACATCGTGGAATCGCTTAAAACATTGTTTTAGCGAAAAAAAGCACTTTGAATGTTAATTTTTATATGTTTTAAATTTAACACATTTGTGTGTGACTCAGAATTGCTCCAATTAATTTTAAATCCTTCTCACTGTAATGGAAATCGTTGGAAAAACTGAATTGAACTCTTCTTCGCCCTTTCAGTTGGACTTTGTCTTGAATTGCTGGGTAGTTTTACACTAAATTATTCCTCCCATTTCCAATGCACACCCCTTCGGGAGATGATATAATTTAAGGGGTATTTTGCATTATTCACCTGGTGTTGTCCCCATTGAACAAGTATCAAATTTGGTTATTTGAAATTATGTGTGGCGCACATGAGAATGCAAAATACTGCCATCGTATTCTCGCATAATATATAGGGATTATTTGTCAAGTTTGTTCTGCGCGAGGGGGTTTGGGGGGAGAGTTTAATTAAAACACGACAGATACGGAAAATTCATAAGTTTCGCGGTTTTTCAATGGCGCCACACGCTGTATTTGTAATCAGAAAATATTTTGCCATTCGTGAGTTTGTTTTTGCACGAGGGCACGTGTATAAATGTTGTACTTTCGGAATGGGGGTGACATGGGAATAGCACACAATAACCTTTGCAATGGTGGTCAGCCGCAGATCATATGGCATAATTAATCAATTTTCGCTCTTGGATGTGAGCTTTTCAATTAACATTAGCAAATATTTGTTGCGAATACATTTATATATTCTCCCTTGTTTCGCCCAACGGGCAGACTTACGTGAATGAAAAACCGTCCCATTTCCACAAAATTAAACTCGCCTTTTCTGCACACTCACTCTCTTGCCAATTATTTTTCGCCTATTGTGTGTCTCTCTGTCCCCGTATGACAGCCCCCGAAAACTTCCTTTTGATGGGATGAATTGCTGGAAGATGTGCAGGAATTTTTCACACCAACTCTATCACACATAAGACGCTGGCGCGACACAGGTTAAGATGTGTGTGAATGATTAATGGCAAAGCTCCTCTTGTTCACCCCCAGCAATGGAATACTTGATGAACGACCCGGAGACACTGCGAAGTTGGGATGTGACTGGATTTGGCCAGCCATCCGCGCCACCCTTTTATACCCCAGTTGAGTGAATATTTTTAATTAGTCCCCAGCAATTGCAGAAATCCAAAAGATTAGCTCTCTGTGTATTCAGTTAATTTGCCTTATCAACGCAGCCCAACAAATGATTCGAGCTTTCTCTGTCACCGCGATAAAAGCCAGATTCGTATTCTGGCGCACCGCGAACGCCCCGCGAGCGTACAAAATTATGTATCTCGCCGTCGAACATTACGCGTTACCTGTTTGTGAGACAATTGAGCGGGATATTGAGTGGCCGGAAGTCATTACTGCTCAATATCGACAATTGCCACAAGAGTTTATTCATATGTCGGATATTGAATTCCGTGACTCAGTCCAGCGCTTTTGCGTGGGGAGCAATTCAAGCTCAAGGGGCAGATACTGATGGTCGGAAGAGGTGTATAGACTTTTAAGAAAGCGTACGGAATTGTAAAAGATTCTGTTTCAACAAATTGAGGCATTTTCTAAATTATTTTGCTGAAATAAATCAATTTTACTGCTTTTTCTAGGTTATGTGAATGACTTAAAACAGATTTTGAGGATTAAATAACCCTCGAAATCATCAAATTTGTGTTTAATCTGGGAACTTTTCCCTATTTCTTGACAACGTTGAGCATTTGGGTTCAAAATAACTCCGTATTGGTTGAGAAAAAGCTTAGAAGTCAATAATAACCTCAAAAATATAATTTTAGTGTAGAAAAATGCGCTGTTTAAGTTTAAAAGAGACAGATTTATCCTTATTATTTAGTAGAAACATCGCGATATTCCTTTTATTTACTGATTTCTTGATTTGAAATGACTAAAATTAGTCTAATACATTTTTTAACCAGATTCATAACCTCACAATTTGAACCGAAGTCGTCTTGAGACGTAAAACCTTGATTATATAGCGATGAAAGTTAGAAAAGCGATGGAAAATGTCTTGATAGACGTTCAGAAGTGTCTGAAGTGTTAAAGATTCCACACGAAGTGGTGTACAGATTCAAGGCATATTGTCTACCCCTTGTTCTACTCCACAATCACATTCTATTTGCAAAGATTCTGCAGGCGATATGATATGTCGGAGCACTCAAAGCGGAAAATCCTCCCTTGAACTGGGTTTTGGGCCGCGGCGAAATGACAAAGGACTGATTGATCCTTTTCAAATATTCATAATTGTGCTGTTTGAGAATTGGATTTGACATTCATGAAGTGCAAACACACGTGTGAGTTTGTTCCATTGAAGCTCAACGTTAAATTTGACAAAATATGAATATTTCAAGGTGTGCTGAATTTTATCCTGAGGCCAAGTGCTAAGATGACGATGGACGCGCGATGAAGGAATCGATAGAAGGCGTGGCATTTTCCCCAAAAAATTTCCCACCCACTTGTCGATCATAATCTCAAAACAAGAGGAAAAAGAGATTTGAGAGGCATATTTGAATCACACACTCATTAATCACTTAACATCCTCATGATCCATCATCTTCGTCCTGAAAAGTGACTCTCGTGCCCCAAAAATCACACTGGAAGTTAATTTTTATTGATGAATGTGTGCGACAGAGTGTCTGATGTAAGGTTTATTTGACAATTAGCCTCGATTGATTAGTATTTTCCGGCTTCCCCTCAATTCTGGCAAACAGAGAGTGTTCAATAATAAAAAAAAGCTCGTAGGCCAGGAAAGTGTGTCTATAAAAAGGCCTCACAATTTAATTGAGTGTTTATTGACGGGAGAAAATTGTGTGGCGTATGATTGAATGAGATCCATTGGCAATTGTTGTGTATTGACGCCGAAGCGCGCCACGCACTTTTTATCTGGGCGGCGAAATATAAATGCTTTTGGGGTTTTCAAGGAGGAACTTCCAGGCCATTCGGAGCCTCTTCACGCGATATAATGTGCCCCGTCGATTGCTGCATTATCGGGCGCGAGAGATAAATTCCTCACCTCATTAACGTCATCACGGTTGACACTAATTTGGCGGCTGGAAGTGCGCGACGCGCGAACGCGGGGAGGCGAGCATTCGAGTCCGCGCCTGGATTTGGTCTGGTGAGAGGGACAATTATTTTAATTGAGGGATGATACAAGAAAACACTCTGGTCAGAGTGATTCAGGCACTTTTAGAATTATTACCTGGAACAGGGAGAGAGAGAGAGTGGAAATTAAAATAGACGGGCTGCTGGGATGCGGAGCGCCTTGGTGATAATGATGGATGAAGGTGTGAAAGTGGGTGAAAGAGTGCGATAAAGTGGAGAAAGTGAAATTAATAACTGGGCTTTGTGAGAGGCAAAGTGTCGTGGAGAAGAAAAAAATCATAAATTGGACTTTTCCACAAAAGGCGTCACTTTAGGAAATTAATTTCACAGGAAAATCTATGCAAACCCACGCTTTTTCACTTGAAATTATATGTATAAAAATAATTTCCCATTACACGAAAGCCATTGATGGGCGTCTAAAAATTGTCCATTGTTTATCTATGAAATCATCTGAAAATTGTTTGTATTATTGCGGTTGTTTTGTGTAAATAAGCATTTTTCCATTCCATAAAAGAGTGTTCAACATTCACAATCGCGGAATTCTGTTGTTCCCGCCAAGGGGGAGATAATATGCCCTGAATTTGTACATCACTTCAGACACTTCTGAACGCTTTGAATGCATTTTTCATCAACTTTCCAGACTTCAAATGATTAAATTTCAGTTGTTTAAAAATAATTTCTGTCTTTGGAAAATGCTTTCATCAAATTCTGCCGTTAAAAACCGAACTTTAAAATCTGAAAGCGATTAAATAAAGCCAATATTACAATGGTTAAAGTGGAAAATTAGGTTGAATTTTCCTATTTTAAGCAAAAACCGCTAAAACATAAGCAAAGAGATATTTTTCTGCACTGAAATGATATTTTTTGAGGTTATGATTGACTTTAAAGCTCTTTTTCAACCAATATGATGATTTTTCGAAAAAAAATGCCCAATTCTGAGGAGAAAATGATAATTTTTGAAGGGTATTTAATCACCAAAATCGGTTTTAAATTATTTCCATAACCTAAAAAAGCCATAAAATTGATTTTTTGGGCAAAATAATTTAGAAAATGCCTCAATTTGTTGAAATTGAAGCTTCTGCACAGCAAATATCCTAAATATTTTATCTCTTTTAACTCATAACACTTCCATTAAAGCTGTACACCACTTCTGACCACAATGTCTGCCCCTTGGTTCCCGCGTTTTGGCACTTGAAATGCAAATTGCATTGGCAAATAAATATTTTATCAAATGAACATTGCACAGGAAGTGGCTGGTTTTTTTTCCACGTTCAGCAAATAAAGCGCCCAAATGGAGCTTATTTTCCCAAATCTACTTGTAGCTGCCGCGAGCTTTTCGCGGCGGGGGTTATTTTCGACAGGTGGAAATGGGAATGAGAAGAAAAAAAAAACTCCTGGCCACAAACGACTGCACATAATCTTCATTCGAGGGATTGAAATTCAATATCGCTGTCGAATTGTATGGAGGAAGTTGAGAGCTTAAATGCATATCAGGCCGCAATGATTTGCATAGTTGCGGGGCGGAGGGGGAGTGGCGGTACAACAGGTAACATATGTGCATAATGCGGAGTGTGGTTCGAAATTTTAATTAATACATTAATTATTCATGTTGAAGTTGATACTCTGCGTATCTGCAATTTCAAATAAATTTAATACCGCCATAAAGTTCATCCAGAGCAATTTTCCATGTCGCTCCAGTGCGATCAGTGCGCGAGATAAATACTGTGAACATTTTCGGTATCATAAAGTGTCTGAGGAGAGGCTTCATCCTCCGCACAGTGTGGAGTGTGTGCCACGCGAGAAGAGTCCTTCTTGTTCAACTTTTAAAGCCACTCCCGCCGCTCCAGTCAATGCCAAGTTGATGGGATCATTTGTGGTGAAATTTGAAAAAGAGCGGCAGATTTGTCGCACTCCAAGCACATCAACTTCACCTCACACATCACACAAAAAATTTATATGCAAATTCTCACGCAAATTTCCACCATGTATGTACTTTGATTGAATAAATACTCTCAAAACATGCTCTGGATGAGAAAAGATGGGGAACAACTTTTTTCTTCCACTGGAGATTCGAATAACTTCCATATCGAATTTTCTAAAGAAACGCTCCAAGGGTCGATTTTCCATCCCAGTGATTCTTTTCTTCCCCCAAAAAAACCTCAACAGCTTCGATTGTGGATCTGTTTTTGCAAAAAAAAGGAAGAAAAGAAAAACCAAAACTTGTACTGCGTTTTCATCGTGTTCCTCGGGAAACAAAGGTCATGATTGAAAATATCTCATTGAGAACGATAAAAAATTAACATTCTTCTTGCTGTTCATGAATTTTTTTTTCATTCCTCAAAGGGCAAGAATAGACAAGGGGGAGATAATCAGAGAATCACAGACACTTTCAGAACTTTGGCAGTGCTTAAAACATGCGTTTTCCTTACATTTCCAACCGCCTAAAGTATCATAACCTCAAATTTAGACGTTTTTGTGTTAAAAAGACAAAATTTTTACTTGTATGAGCTTGGATACTTACGTAGAAATTGTGTATTAGAAATATTTAAAGTTTCCAATAGATATTTGGATGTGATTCCATTTTTCTTCGCTCTTTTGGATGTTTTTTGGAACATAACCTAAAAAATACTGCCAAATATCTAAAGTAATCATTGAAAGAAACTTATTCGGAACGTTTTTAACGCAATTTTCTTATTTTAGAGTAGAAAATCAATCAAATAGCTATTAAAATAGACAAATTTGTATCCTGAAACAATAATTTAGAGGTTATGATCAATTTTAGAATAATTAACATCAATTTAACATGGAAATCTTGTAATATTAATCAGATTTTAATTTTATTGCTCCAGTTCATGTAAATTAAACCAATTTAGGGGCAAGAATGAATGATTTTGAAGGTTATTTAGTGGAAAAGTTAGTCTTAAATTCATAACATAACCTAGAAAAA